TGACAGCCCCTCACCTTCAGACTCCAAAACGAAGGGAGGATGGGTTACATCAGTCCTCCACAGGGATAGAGGGCCCTTCAGATACCTACCCAATGATATATATGTCCAGATTCAGGTCTTTGTTGTTCAGTTGAAGCAGGTCACTGAGGTCCACAGTGGGGGCTGCTGAGGCCACATTCCATGTCACAACATGTATCCTGTGGAAAGGATATTAAAGAAAGTCACAGAGAATGGAGGCTAAGGAATGGACAGGGACCTAGACCAGTTAATGGTTCCCACTTCAGTGATCACGGGAAATGTGTCTGCATGCTTGTTAGTCTGTTGTTTTTGAGACAGAGTCTCACGATGCAGCCCAGGCTGGCCTCCAACTCCTTAAGTAGACCAGGCTTGCCTGGAGCTCACAGGGATCAGTCTTCCTCTGCCTCCTAATTTCTGGGATTAAAGTTGTGTACCACCATGCTCAGCTTGTTTCTGCATCTTGTGGTAGGAAAAGAGGAAAAGGAGCAATGGACTATGAAGCCTTCCCCTTCCCCTTTATCTCCTGAATCAGGAATCTCTTCCCTTGAACTGGTTCCTCTACACAGGTTCACAACTGCCCAGACCCCAGCAGCACCTGACCCACAGCGCCAGAGGGAATGGGAGAGGGGTTTTGGCCAGGAAAAGGAACACATGGTGAGTTGGAGTTGGACGGCCATTGGCCCTCCCAGCTAGCTACACCTCACCCATCCTCTACGGCTCAGCAGCTCCGAACTCCCGCTCCTCAACCTACGGGTTCTGAAGAGCACCTAGAAGGTATCAGAGGTTGATTGTACCTGATCGTAGGCCTCAGAGCTACAAGCACAGGAATTTCAGAAAAGAACAAAACAAACAGCACATTCCCTTCCTCACTCCTACCTTACCAATCCCTGGAGTACAACAGATTCTACCAAGGCCGTCATGGAGCCTCAGTACAAGTTTCTAAGTAACAGGTTTTTTTGTTTTTTTGTTTTTGTTTTTTTCTTTTTCTTTTCTTTTTTTTTTTTCTTTTTTTTTGAGACAGGGTTTCTCTGTGTAGCTTTGCACCTTTCCTGGAACTCACTTGGTAGCCCAGGCTGGCCTCGAACTCACAGAGATCCGCCTGGCTCTGCCTCTCGAGTGCTGGGATTAAAGGCGTGCGCCACCACCGCCCGGCAGTAACAGGTTTTTCAATCTCTATCTCAACAGTCTTCTCTCTACAGGGAAACATCATCAGATGGGGAATAACATTCCAATCTCAGCTCGCTACAAGTCCCAGACTAAAAATAATTAGCAGCTCTCAAATACCACACATCCTAAACCGAAGTTCAGGAGAGTAAACACTTGTAGAGCCCTTGAGTGAGCCTATTACTATAGCAACGCTCCAAGAAGCCCACCCTGTTCCCAGGACAGAGCAAGCAGGAGCTCAGACTCTACAGAGATAATAGCCTGTGAGTTCCAGAAATACCGAGGCACTGAAGCACAGGATCCTGAGGATCCTGAAAGGGAAGGGCAGGCTGTTCTAAAACATCTCTTGTCCATCAGACCCTGTTCTTAGAGGTACATGTTCTAAGAAGTGTGGCTTGTAAAAAACATTTCTTGGCTAGCTTAAAGCAACTTCCTGCCTCTCCCTATGAATATAAACAAAATAATACAAAAACCACCTTTTCTCAGGCCCTCTGAGAGACTGCTACTTCGTCTCCCCCTGCTGTCCAACAGAGGATTAAGGCAGGTAACCCTTTTACTCAATGGCTTCTTGTATTCCCAGGCACTTAACTCTAAGTGGATAAAGAATAAAATTGGGGATTTGTCATCCCTGTTCACAGTTTTGGTGATTAGCAGCAAATCCATGCACCATGAGTTCCGCTCAATAGGACGATTAGCGGTGTTCCTCGTGATTAAAGATCAAGCTTGAGACCAGGCTCCACTTCTCTAAAGGATCTTATCTAAATCTGATTTCTAGAGATCATAACCGGATCAAGAAGACCCCATGATGTACTGCTGATGAAAAGTACGAACAAAATTTCTATTCTACAGCTGAAGAAGAGACGGATGTCTTAGACACTTAGTAGTCTAACAGTGTGCTCCAAAAACCAACTGGACACTTGTTTGGGAAGCATCTGCAGTGACCAATTCGGCAGCCCAAGTTTAGGGCGGGTATCAGGTCTAACAGCCTATTCAACACTGGCCTGGAGGAATCTGGCGGTCCAAACTAGGGCAGCCCTGTAGGCCTGTCTGTCCTCTTGCTCCCACTGTGGTTTGGTACCCAGCCCCACAAATCAGACTGGATCGAAGACAGCGAGTACCGACCGGCCTACAACTGCGTCCTCACCCGAGTACACTGCCTTTCGGTGCGCTCGGCCTCCGTAGGTTCGCAGCCGACATTATTCCCACGCCGTGACCCGGTAGGCTCGTGTCTCCGTGTCAGTGCCGGCCGGAGCAGCCCTTGGTCGCCGGTATCAGCTGCACTCTTCCCTCCGGGTTGTTTTTCTTCCGGATTCTGACTGCGCTTCGGCTTCCGTAGGGGGCGGATCGGGAGCGCCCAGGACTGTGGGGTGCGGTTGGGGCACAGAGGCGGGACTCTGCAGCAGGGCGAAACGCCCAGAGGCGGAGCGGAGATGGGCTCGGAGACGAAGAGAGGCGTGCCCTACGTGTCGTCCACCCCGACGCCACACGCCCCGCACCGACGTGCTAGTGGGCGGCGGCGCGGCCGCCGGGGCCCCGCACTCCCAGCCTGCCTTGCGCGAGGGCGCAGGCGGGAGGAGCGTTGCGGCCGGAAGTTGCTGTGGCGCGCGGCCTCGGCTACCTCCAGACGGTTCCGTGGCGTGCGGTCCTCCCTGCTGTCTGCCCACCCTCGGGATCGGGGAGTGGGCAGGGTGGGGACGCTCAGTGTAGTCTGTCCGGCCGCCCGGCCTCCCTCTTCCTACACTTCAAGTAATTTCTGTGCTGTTTCTTGGCACCCTCGTAAGGGTCACAGAGCACTTGCATTCTTTTAAGTGACTAGCGGGTCGTCCTTTTGGTTTTATTTTCCCCGGCCAGTCTCGCTGTTAAGTCCTGGAACTTGTTATGCAGACCAAGCCGATCCTCCCACCTCAGAGCGGAGATTACATGAGTGCACCACTACGCCCAAGTCAAACCTAGTTTTGCTGAATACAAAGCACGTTTTGGGATTCCCGGGCTCGGAAAATAAGCCATCAGTGAATGAAAAACAAGTCGTTGCACCTATATGGTGTATATTCGACTGATCATGATTAGTTAATCTGCCAGACTCAATTCGATTTATTTCCTCTAGGTCTTTGGTTCTTAGTTTTTTGAGGGCGGGAGGATTGTTTTCAGAGTTCTGGAAACAGGAAAACGTAGCTTCATGAGATTCACACACTGGAAAGCCAAGTTAAAGATCCTGCTTTTTAGCCCCACACAGTGGGTCACACTTGTAGTACCAGCTGAACCCACAAACATCCTGCTACTTTAAATGTATGTTCTGGCCGGGCGGTGGTGGCACACGCCTTTAATCCCAGCACTCGGGAGGCAGAGCCAGGCCTCCCGAGTTCGAGGCCAGCCTGGACTACCAAGTGAGTTCCAGGAAAAGGCGCAAAGCTACACAGAGAAACCCTGTCTTGAAAAACCAAAATAAATAAATAAATGTATGTATGTATGTATGTATGTATGTTCTGGAACCAGGCATAGTGGTGTGTATCTAATTCAAGGACGCCGAGGCAGGATGATTACTCCCCAAGTTTTGAGGCCAGCTTGAGCTGCTTAGAGAGCTACAGGACATTAGGACTGTGGTGTGATTCTTTTTCGACCTGGGTTTGGTTCCCAAAACCCACATAACCATCCTAACTCCCAATTCCAAGGGATCCGAGGCCCTCTTTTGATCTCTCTGGGTACCAGGCATGCCCGTGGTGCACATTACTCTTAAAGAAAAATAAAAACAGCAGTCTTGTTACTGTTGCCTGTCCCCACTTGCAGTGAAATTAGTAGACCTGGTCTAGTATTCTCTTTAGACCAGGCTGATCTCAAACACAAGAGGTCCACCTGCCTCTGCCTCCCAAATGCTGGGATTAAAGCCCTGAGGCACCATGGATAGCCTTTAAAAAAAAAAGAGCTTTAGCCGGGCGGTGGTGGCGCACGCCTTTAATCCCAGCACTCGGGAGGCAGAGCCAGGCGGATCTCTGTGAGTTCGAGGCCAGCCTGGACTACCAAGTGAGTCCCAGGAAAGGCGCAAAGCTACACAGAGAAACCCTGTCTCGAAAAACCAAAAAAAAAAAAAAAAAAAAAAAAAAAGAGCTTTAATTATGCATGTGGGGGGGAGGATATGTGGACAGGAGCACAGGTACCTGTGGAGATTTGAGGCATCAGATCCCACAAGAGCTGGAGTTACAGGCAGTTGTAAACTGTAATGCAGGCGCTGGGAACTAAACTCAGGTCCTCTGAAAGAGCAGTACATGCTCTCAACTGAGAGCCATCTCTCCAGCCTGTAAGTGTAATTTTTTTTTTCTTTTCCAAAGCCCAGGCATGCGTTTCCAGATTCTTTGGGTTTTTTCAGTCTTTCCTACCCAACCTCTTCACCATGTGGCTGCTCCCAGAAGGTAGAGTTTTATCTTCAAACAGTTGCCAAGATTTACAGCTTGCCTGCCCTGTTGTTCTTCCCCCCAAACTAATAAAACTGTGCACAACTTTAAAAAAAAAAAAGAAGAAGAAGAAGAATGGTCAGACGGTAGTGGGCACGCCTTTAATCCCAGCACAGCACTCGGGAGGCAGAGGCAGGCGGATCTCTATGAGTTCGAGGCCAGCCTGGTCTACAGGGCGAGATCCAGGAAAGTCAGGGATACACAGAGAAACCCTGTCTCGATAAGCCTGAATGAATGAATGAATGAATGAATGAATGAATGAATGAATGAATAGAAAAGCCTGAATAAATAAAGACATGAGTAGGAGCTTTAAGGATAGCTATATTGAAAAATGGACAGAGGAACATCACTAAGAAGCTGGACTCCAAAAAGCTCTGTCTAGGATTTTATTAGACTGCTTTTTTCCCAATATACCTGTATTGGAAGATTGAGACAAAAAGGCACAAACTCACATGAAATCAACACGGTAATCTAGTCAGTTCTACAAAGTGTGGTTTGTAAAAGAAGCAGCACTAAGAACCACCCCAAGTTAAGTCAGGGCCCAGCAGGGACTGGAAAAGGAGAACTTAGGATATACACATGCCCACAACACTGACCCTGTCCTGTCCCCCCCCATGCCTCTCCACAAGGAGGCCAGAGGCCAGCAGGCCTTGTGCAGAGACAGTAACTGCTGCTTTTAGTTGGCTGTAGGACCTGGACGTCTAACGGGAGCAGCCAGTCTGAAGGGGCATGACACCCTCGGGTATTATCACCAGACCTGAGCCCTCCGAGTGCTAGTCGGTTTTTGGGGGTGGGGGAAAAGGGAAAGGGGATACTTAAAAGCCAACAGTTGCCCAGCAGCAACACCACCCGTGGATTGGGATAGACCAGGGACACCCCTCTTTTGTGTTTGTTTGTGTGGGCAGGAGCCCAAAATCCAGGCTGATCTCAGCAAATTCTAGTTGGTAACATTTGGATGCTTTCAAATGTGAGCAACAGGTGGGTATGCAGGAGGAGCTAGAGCAAAGGCAGGTAAGAGCAAGCCTGGACTGGAGCTGATGTGACTGATATGTGTGGATCTCCAAGTGCTGAAGGAGACAAATATCTCCTGAGCTCACGCACATAACAACTGCCTGCTTAGAGTCGCAGTTCCCTCCAGATAACTCACATCTGGACTGCAACCTAGTTTATGAAGAAGGAGAATCTTTAAGCACAAATATGACTGACAGGTAATACAGAGCTTGTAGGAGAACATTTATGTTCTTCTCCATTAGGAATGCCTCTTCTCCAACTTTCCCATACTACTAGCAGTTGAGATGCTAATCATCAACCCAGATGCCCCAAGAATGTTCCTAAAGACTCCACAAGGTGAGGAGACTAATACAGAGGAGGTTTCTGTAACAGGGACATCGCCTGGTCTCAAAAGGACCTCAATGAAGGTCAGAGCTAACCATCTGAGGGGCCTGAATCTGTCCACCCTTGCTCCAGGAGAACCACAGGGAAGCATCCAATCTGCATGTCACAGGTGCAGTCCTGTGAGACACTCCCTTATTGCACTTAGAAACGAGTAAGGCAAGCAAACTGACAAAAATGAGATCCATTAATCCGTCCTTCTTCCTCCCTAATAGACTCAGTCTCTCTCTAACGGATACCCAGGCTAGTGTGGGCTTGGATCACTACACATTGGGCTGACTGACTCAACAAGGCTTGGGAAATGTCCAGTGACACAACCATATCACACTCTCCCACCAGGAAGGCATACTTAGTTCTGCCCATCTAGAAAAACTAGGAGGCAGGCGTTCAGTAGCTTCTACTCCCCCAGAGCCTGGGCTTCACCAGCCCACTGTGATAAGAGTTCTAGGCTACAGTCACTGATTGCTTTTGATTGTCCAGCACAGAACTCAGCATGGGGCAGGATGCCTGAGTTCTCGATCTGCAAACTCCTCTCCAGTGACTAGAAACAGGAAGGGACGTGTTTTGCTAGGGGAAAAAAAGCTTTTTGCATGCTTGTTTTGTGCAGCATGAAAAGACCAGGACTCTTGCATCCTACCAGCCTCAAAGAGGACAGGGACCTAAGAAAGCACAGACAGGATTATTGCTGAGTGGCAGCACCAGCCCAAAAGGGAAGAGGAGCATGGACGGACAGGGCTCCTCGGGTCTGACTGGAGTCTACAGGCCATACTGGACAATTCTCCAGGCGGGGAGTGATGGATTTCTTGTAGGCTCTGCAAAGAGATTCCGATAGAGTGGGCAACACAGGAGGGCTGAGAAGCCGAGATTTCTAAGAATATTAACCAGAGATGCAATGACTCGAGGGGGTTATTTATTATTTGCTAAATTTCCTTAGATTGGCTGGGCCTTGGGTACCTTCTTGGTGCTTAGAGCACTCGAACGAGAGATTACTAGGAGCAGAGGTCAGGGTTATGAAGCCACATTCTTACTGTGTGGAACGGGGGCCGGGTATCTGTATTTTTAACTCCTCCTCTCTCCCCAAGTGAATACTCAACATTGCCAAAGATCTGCCCAGGAAGCAAAACAGCTCAGTTTATCCCAAGGCTGAAATAAGTGAGCTTAAATAATCATATCACAAAAGGCAGCTAATTTAAGACTAAAAATGTCACTTGGAAATAAAGGGGGGAGGGCACACAGAAATGGGTCAGGACACAATGGAGAGAGGGATGAGCTGTAAATACAGCAGCGTACGCCATATATCTTAGAGGATCAGGCTCCCGCACACACAGGCTTTGTAATACCAGACGGTCTATTTGTTCACAATGTTAAAGGGCATCTAGAAATAGCTACAGTAAGGGGTTGAAAGTTGCCTGAAGAATGAGCACAGAAAGGCTGCATCCAAAGACGGCCTGCCACTCAGGAGGGTGGAGCTGCTGGGCCTTCCTGTTGACCACTGTCTTGCAAAACTAGAAAAGAAATAGAAATTGTTAAGGAAGCAACAAGGGAAACAAAATCATGCAGTAAATCATGATGAGTGGAGGGATTTCAGGGGGAAGGACGCCAACTGGTGGAGGCCCTGGGGAGAGAGGGTACGGAGGCCCTGGTAGTGACTGCAGAACTGGCATCTACTTAATACTCCCCTTCCATCTCCCAGAAGCTGCTTAAGCACATGGGTTAGGCTGGGGCTGGTGCCTGCCTAGCATGCACATGGCCCAGGGTTTGTTCCTCAGCACTGGAAGAAAAAGAACCATAGAACAGCCGGAGGAGAGCAGAAAGGCCCTAGGTTTCCTTAGGCTTTTGGTGCTAGAGGGTGCTGTCTTTGATGAAGTAATTTCCTCACAGCCTGACTAGGGGTTGAGCCATGTTTCATTCTGTGCTGCAGAATGAGTCTTGGGAGTATACAGGCACCCTGGAGAAGAGCCAGCATTGGGATCTAACAGAAGGATGGGCCTTAGGAAAAGTGACGGGTAAAACAAGGACACCCCATCCTGCCCCTATGACCTGGTAAAAAGTCTTCCAGCACCTTTGTTGAAGCCAGAGCTACTTGAACTGTGCTTCTACTGCACACACGCCACTTGTCTCCACCCTGCCATGTCCATCTGCATGGGTCTTTATAAAACATGCCCCTGAAAGCTAAGAGTCAGAACTCCTTTCCATGGAAACCCAGGAGTTCAGTCTCTAACATGCAGTCACCGCCATTACTAGAGTAAAGGATGAGGAGTGAGGTAGATTTTCTCATTCCACAGTGAGCTCCCGAGGCCCTGAGGACTGTATTTTATGACATGCACAGTGGAAATGAAATTCAGTACATACAGTGCAGAAGGGGTGGGTAGCATTAGTCATCGGCTGTCATTCCTTTCACTGGGTCCTTTTGTCTCATCTAGAACAGAAAAAGCAGAAAGAAATGGAAAACTTTTGTTGCTGATGGAACTCCACCATAAATGTACCCTGACTTCTCAGTCCTGCCAATAGATAGGACAGAACATTTGTGTGTGTGCACACAAAGCAAAAATAAGAATAGAAGCCAGCTTTAATCCCAGCACTTGGGAGGCAGAGGCAGGTGGATCTCTGTGAGTTCAAGGCCAGCCTAGTCTAAGGAAACCGTGTCTTGAAAAACAAACAAAAAAAGAATAGAAGTCTGCATAAATAATAGCCTAGACCACCCCATTTATAGTTCTATCACAGTCCTACCATCTACCACAACTTAGAGATTCACTAATGCTAAGTCAGGACCTATTTTCTCTGTGTTTTTATTTATTTACTTACTTAATTTTTAATTCCTACTTATTTTTATTTTTGAAGCTCAAGGACAATTTTATTGGAGTTTAAGAGAAAAATATACTATGGGTTACATGAAGAGCCTAGCATGCCAGGAGGAGATGGAAAGAAAATCATGCCTTTTAAGTACAAAATAGAAATAGACTGCTTATTTTTATTTTATGGGCATGAGTATCTTGCCTGCTTGTATGTATGGACACCATGTGTGTACCTGGTGCCCAGAGGCCAGAAGACAACGTTGGATCTTGTTACAGAGGGTCCTGAACTGCCATGTGGGTGATGGGACTCAAACCTCGGTCCTCTGCCATAGCAATAAGTGCCCTAAACCACTGAGCCATCTCTCTGGCCTCTAGACTGCTTATTAAGAAAGGAAAAGGCACTCTCAAGAGTGGGAGTGGGCTAGAGAACTGAGGAATTAGCCCCCAAAACCTAATATTTTTTAAAATTAAAATTATTTTGTGGGATGTGAGGGTGGTGAGTGGGGCATGTGCATGCCATGGTACACATGTGGAGGTAAATAAAGAACAGCTTTCAGGAGTGGGTTTCTCCTTCCATTTTTTTTTTTTTTTTTTTGGTTTTTCGAGACAGGGTTTCTCTGTGTAGCTTTGCGCCTTTCCTGGAACTCACTTGGTAGTCCAGGCTGGCCTCGAACTCACAGAGATCCGCCTGGCTCTGCCTCCCGAGTGCTGGGATTAAAGGCGTGCGCCACCACCGCCCGGCTCTCCTTCCATTTTTATTTGAGTTCCAGGGACTGACCTCACGTCACCTGCCTCTCTGTTTCTATTAAGATGAAAAAAACGAGAGGGAGCTTCCTGGTGCTGGAGAGTTGGCTTAGCAGTCAAGGGTACTTGCTGCTCTTGGCAGAGGACCTGGGTTCGACTCCCAGCACTCACATGGCAATTTGTAACCTCTGTAACTCAAGTCCCAAGGGACCTGAATTCCTCTTTTGGCCTCAATAGGCACCGTGTGCGCTTGTGGTGCACACACATACTACATGCAGGCCAAACTCTCATACACATAAGTCAATCTAAAAAACTTTTTTCAAAAAGATGCAACTTCCTATCAAAGAATGTGGCCACTTCCCTTCCCGTCAAGGGACAAGGGGTGCTACTGAAATAACTCACTGTTCATTGTTTTAGACTTCTAGTAAAATGTCCTAAGAATGCTTATTTCCTGTTCCTTGAAGCCTATAGGATAGGCTTTTGTCTTGTTTTATTTATTTATATTCTGAGACACAGTTTTTCTGTGTAACAGCCCTGGCTGCCTGGAACTCAGTTTGTAGACTAGGCTGGCCTCAAACTCACAAAGACCCACCTGTCTCTGCCCAGTGTTTTTATTTTTTGGTTTGGTTTGGTTTTTGAGGGTCACTGTGTAACCCTGGTGGATTGATTACTTCCTGTGTAAAGCCAATGATGGTGCATGTCTTTAATCCCAGTATCACAGGGAATTTGAGGCCTGGAGAGCCTGCTGGGGGATGAGGGGGCTAAGATGACTGTGATAATTTTCACAACCCTGTCTCCCAACTCAGTTTTATTATTATTTTGGTTTTCTGAAGCAGGGTCTCATGTACCCCAAGTTGACCTCAAACTAAGAATGACCTTTAACTTCTGACCCTTCAGCTTTTGCCTCCCCCACTGCCAGGACGACAGGCATATGCCACCAGCCTGTCTTTGGCTAGTTTTTGTTTGTTTGATACTTAAATATCACAATAGTCCTGAGAAATGAAATTGTATTTAACAACAAAGCTACTACTGTGTTTTAATATATTGGCTGGCATTCCAGATGGTCTGCTCTGGGTACATTTCTGTCAGTGGAAAGGAAGGTAAGAGCTTGCCTCTGCAGAAGCTATGGGAATCTTTTTAAAAATATATACTGCGTGCGTGCGTGCGTGCGTGCGTGCGTGCGTGCGTGCGTGCGTGCGATGGCTCAAAGTGAGGTCAGACGACACGTGGTGAGCGTCACTTGTCTCCTTCCACCATGCAGGTAGGGTCCCAGGGACGGACGGACCTTAGGTCACCAGGCTGCACAGGGGCCTTTCCTCATGGAGCCATCTCACAGGCCCAATGTCAGGGTCGTTGTTCTCTTTGTCCAGCTGCTCTGAGTTAGGTAGAGAGGCTTCTCCTTATCAGCCTAACCCCGAAACACAAGCCCACGATACCTCAAAGCTTTTAACTCCAGATGTGGTGTCTGCCAGACACTTTGATACAGAGAGATGTGTGTGATCTCTGGGTAATGTCCAGAGGTCACAACCTAAACTAAAACTAATAGGGAGCTAGCATTCAGCAACCAGAAAGGGTCAAGCACGTCGTCCGAGCCCACATACAAGGAGACAGCTACGTAGCCTCTCACCTAAGACACATGAGCAAGGATGTCATGTAGCCTTTCAGCTTACCACACAGTGTCAACTTCAGAAGGGATGGGTTGCAGAGGGACAAAAAAAATTATGGGACAAGTGGAGATGACCCATAATAGGAAAGAAAATACAACAGAATCCTTTGGGGTTTTTTTTGAGACAGGTCTCTCTACATAGCCCTGGCTGTCCTGGAACTCTCTATGTAGACCAGGCTAGCCTTAAACTCACAGGTCCACTTGCCTCTGCCTCCCTGGATTAAGGCCAGGTACCGCTCTGCCTGGCTACTATAGAATCTTAATCATGTTGTGAACCTAAATGTTTTAGAGTCCAATAAACAGAAAACAATTTCTTACAATGTTTTAAATGAGTTACCGGTCTCAATGCACACAGAGCATCAATGGCCAAAGGCCCAGGGGATGTTACTCAGTGAACTACAATGTATCCTGAGCCCCCGGACTCACTTGTCTTTGACTACAAATCTAACTACCACCTGGACTTCTGGGTTCATGTTGCCAGGGGGATCTGGTGACATAACTTATGTTGTCATATGTCAGTAATACAGTAAGAGCTCATTAACTATTAGCATCTATTAATAGGAGCACATGTAGTACTCAGGAGGTAGTGAGTGCCACAGAGGTCATCAAGCAAGCACAGGCTGGTGGGGAAGCTGCGTCAGGAACCCAAGTGTTGGGTATGTAATTGGATCCAATGACTTTTTTTTTTTTTTTTTTTTTGGTTTTTCGAGACAGGGTTTCTCTGTGTAGCTTTGCGCCTTTCCTGGAACTCACTTGGTAGTCCAGGCTGGCCTCGAACTCACAGAGATCCGCCTGGCTCTGCCTCCCGAGTGCTGGGATTAAAGGCGTGCGCCACCACCGCCCGGCTGACCCAATGACTTTTTAAGGTATGATTCTACTTTTGTCATTTTAAGCCTCATAAGAGAAGGCAAGGGAGTAGAAGAGGCAGAAGAAAAAGAGGGGGAAGGGATCAAGAAGGGGGGGAGGGAGGGAGGGAGGAAGGGAAGGAGGGAAAGAGAAATTGCTTTTTACAAATAGTATTTCCTGGTATTTTTCTTTTTAGAGAGAAACAAACAAACAACAACAAAACCAATCCCTAAACTAATCTCTGGCTGTCCTGGAACTCATTCTGCTGATCATGAACTCCAAGAGCTGCCTGCCTCTGCTTCCTGAGTGCTGGGATTAAAGGAGTGTGCCACCCCATAATTCTTACTAAAAATTTGTAATTAAGTATGACATGATAGACTGAAATACCTCCTGCATTTATCTCTGTTGTTTGAATCTTAAATCAGTCTTATAATAAAAAACTTAATACCAGATATTGGGGTAAATGCTGAAAGATCAGAGAGACAAAAGAACAAGCCACATCTCACCTCACCAATTCCATGAATCCTCTGACTGAAACTCTCTGAGTTCTCACCCAAAAGGCTCCAGCCAAAAAAGCCTCTAGCTGAAAGGAACACTTCTGCCGAAAAGCCTTCAGTTCCTGTCTCCTCATGCCTTATATACCTTTCTCCACCTGGCCATCACTTCCTGGGATTAAAGGCATGTGTGCTTCCCAGTACTGGGATTAAAGGTGTGTGCCACCACTGTCTGGCATCTATGTTTAATCTAGTGGCTTGTTCTGTTCTCTGATCTTCAGGCAAATTTTATTAGGGTACACAATATATCAGCACATGTCTCTATTTCTCTTCCAAATACTACTACAATGACAGTAAGTATCACTTAAAAAAGAAAGAAAGAGACAGACAGACAGAAGGATGAAGAAACCACAATAGAGATTACAGAAGCAGATAAAAGCCACACTTTGGAGGACAAACAGAACGATGAACAGTAATTTTCAGAGCAAGGGAAACTGACTTTTTGTTTTGTTTTGTTTTTCGAGACAGGTTTTCTCTGTGTAGCTTTAGAGCCTGTCCTGGAACTCACTCTGTAGCCCAGGCTGGCCTCAAACTCAGAGATCCGCTTGCCTCTGCCTCCCAGGCACTGGGATTAAAGGCATGGGCCTTTTCACCCGTGGAAAACTGACTCTTAAAGTGTCCAGGAGGACCCAGAGCCAAGAAGGAGATGACCAGCTGGTGCCACAGACTTCCCAGAGGCTCTGCAACTGGAAGCTGCAGGTTACCTCAGAGACTGGCAATCAGTGGGGTCACATAGAAAGTCCTTAGGACTTGGTACTCACACTCACTGCTCTCCAAGCCAAGCACCCACTGCATTTCCTGCCATAGCTAAAGCCTTCACTCTCTGGGGGTGTAGAGGTCTCAGCTAGGACAAAATGGGCCTGATGTAGAACATGGCAGCAAGTTAAAGCTACCAATGACATGAGCCTGCTAGAATCCTTGCTCAGATTTGGCTGTCAATACCTAGCTGCCTACCTTCCAAGCAAGATACTAGAGGGGCAAAATGAGCAGCCTCCTCAAATGACTTGGGATCCCCACTGCAACCACCTAACTGTGCTACAATGAAGCCCATTACTGAACTGAGACAGCCCCTCACTAGAAAAAGTACAAAGAAAGCCCCCAACTGAAGTTCAGAGTCTAACAAGAACTCAAAAGAAACAGTATTTAGTTAGCAGAAAGAAACCTTAAGAAACAATGTTTAAATGATAATTGTAAAAAAAGAAAATGAATAGAGAAAAAGGTAGATGGCTCATGTAAGCATGAGTACCCGAGTTTAAATCCCCAGAACCCATGTAAAATCAATGCAGTAGGCACACGATTACAGGACAAAGAAGGCCACTCCCCAGGTACGCAAGGACCATGCTGGCAATACGCAATGGGAAAAAATGAGACCCTGGCTCAAATGAGGTGGAAAGTGAGAACCAATACCCAGGTTGTCCACTGACCTTCACGTGTACTATAACATATGTACAAATATTCACACACAAAATCAAATAAGGGAATGCCAAGGATGGTGGCTCATACCTGTCATCCTAGGGCTTGGGAGGTAGAGGCCAGAAAACCAGGAGTTCAAGGTTATCCTCACGTACTTACTGAGTTTCAGGCCAGCTTGGGCTACAGAGTAAGACCATGTCTCAAAAATAAATAATCTGGGAGCTCAAGGCCAGTCTGCTCTACACAGAGTTCCAGGCCAGCCTGAGCTTCATAGTTAGACCCGTCTCCAACAGTAAAGACATAAATAAGGAAGAAGGAAAGAAAAAAAATTAGACTATGGGTTTCATTCGGTAAAGACAGTGACAAAGTTGTAAACACTAAATAGTGAGCCAACCAAAATTCATGGTACTAAAGAATGGAAAAGGGGAGTATGTGATTGGGTAATGGAGCAGAATCTCCCATGACAGAGGTGAGGAGTTAAAACCTCAAGCTGAGAAATGAATGGGACCCACAAGATGCTTCAGCAGACAAAGGCATCAGCCACTGAGCCTGGAAGCCCAAGTTCGACCCACACGCTGGAAGGAGAGAACCGACTCCCCAAAGTTGTCTTCTAACCTCCCCACAAGTTTCACAGCATGTGTGTGACTACATAAGCAAACAATAAATGAAACATGAAAAAAAATCAGTTTTTAAAAATTAAAAACAAATAAACTTGAGAAGTTAAGACTATAAGCAAATGATTTAAAAATACAGAAGTATGGTGGTGGCACACGCCTTTAATCCCAGCACTCTAGAGGCAGAGGCAGGCGGATCTCTGAGTTGGAGGCCCAGACTGGTCTGCAGGGTGAACTCCAGGACAGCCAGGACTACACAGAGAAACCCTGTCTCGGGGGTGGGGTCAGGATGGAGTTTGAGGCCAGCCTGAACTATACACTCTTGTCTTTTTAAAAAAAATTGTTTTTAAGCTTTGTGTGTATGGTACTGGATATCAAATTCAGTCTTGTGCCTGCTAGACAAATGCTTTACCATCAAGCCATAATAATGTATTTTAGAAGAGAGAAAAAGAAGCCAGGGCTCGAGTTAGCACATGAAGGCCGGTACAATCGCTAGAGGTCAAAACGTTCCACGACGACATGGATTTGGTCCTTTCTCTCCCGTTACAAGTTAGTTTTAAAATTCTAATTCCAGCTGGGTGGAGGTGACACACGCCTTTAATCCCAGCACTCGGGAGGCAGAGCCAGGCAGATCTCTGTGAGTTCGAGGACAGCCTGGTCTACAGAGCGAGATCCAGGACAGGCACCAAAACAACACAGAGAAACCCTGTCTCAGGGGGAAAAAAAAATCTAATTCCAAAGAGGTCCCTTGCACTGACACTTCCCCTGGAGGGCAGTGAGCGTCTCAGCTACTAGCACAACCCTCTATAGAATGGAAGGCCATTTCAAGAGGAGCGGGCACATGTCAAAAGCCCCAACTCTGAGGACTACCAAATTTGAGATGTAAGGATTTGAGATCATCTGGAGACTTCTGCCAAGGATTAGAGCACAGCTCTTTTTTTTTTTTTTTTTTTTTTCTTTTTCGAGACAGGGTTTCTCTGTGTAGCTTTGCGCCTTTCCTGGAACTCGCTTTGGAGACCAGGCTGGCCTCGAACTCACAGAGATCCGCCTGGCTCTGCCTCCCGAGTGCTGGGATTAAAGGCGTGCGCCACCACCGCCCGGCAAGCACAGCTCTTTTAATTTATTTATTTGGTTATTAGTGCTGTGGATGAAACTCCAAACCTCACCCATGCCAACAGTCAAAGAACATATAAAGAATAGTAAATGCTTCCATGAAACCCAATTACTTTATCCTGGCCATTGCCAGGGAGGGGGAGGGGCTAGAACCTTCCCTGCCAAACCCCACCTAAAATCTTCCTGCTGCTCCACTTGCTAACTTTTTTTGGGGGGCAGGGTGGGGTGGGGTCATGACTAGAGTGACCAAAAGATTCAAGCCTCTTTCTCACGCAGGGAGAATCAGCAGTTACTTCAGTCTATAACTTCCTGAGGACCCTTACCTAAGAACCAAGGACTGTGCCCCAATTCCTGCCATTTGCCTGTATATGTGATTGAATGAATAACCAGAGCATCCACCTTCGGCAGGAACGAACTTGCACACCTTACCAGTGAGTCAGCCCAGGAAGAATGTCATCCCAGAAGGTAAAAACAGCTCCCTGGGGGGCTCTAGAAGAAAGGCGGGCTTCTGGGCCCAGGGTCAACCCTAGACCTGCCCTGTGAGGTACTGAACATCTGTGTCCCCTGCACCAAGGCACCTGAACCAGGCCCTCAGCTGAGGCCTGGCAAGAGAGTGCGTGAGGCCGCTGGAAATCACATCCTCGCTGGACATGCACCAATCAAAGAGCAACGGATGGAGCTACAAGAAATGGGAGCTCCCTGCCTTAGGAGAGCAGAAGGACTCCACTGGCATGTGGCCCAAGTCAGACAGCACTGTCACCTACAGGTCTCAGCACAGCACTGCTTAGGACTCAGGGTGTCCCCTGCTTTAGCTGATGATGCCTTCTCACACTGCAAGACAGCACATGTACAAGTGCAAAACTCAGTGCCTGGTGGTTTACACTGAGCATCTCCAAGGGGCTCCTCGGGGAAGCTTCTTTAAATGAGGCAAGAGTGCGGGTCTTCAGGCTCCCAGAGAGCAGACTGCCCTCTTCCTGGGATCCATGCCAAGCTCAAAGACAAAAATCCTCCAACCTGCAAAAAGAGCTCACAACCACACAGAACAGTTGGCTTCTGTGTGTGCTGCAGCTATCCCCTCTAGGTAGCAGGGGGTGGGGTGGGGGGTGGTATTGGCAGATCAGCCTAGCCTTCCTGACCCCAGGGTCACCTCAAGTTCCACAGCCTAGCACCATCCCCCACACTGAAGAATCACTGCAGCGGCTGTATTACTCACTGGCATCAGGCACAGACTACCATATTTGTCTCTGTGGCTGTGCCAAGACCTCAGCCACACTGTATTTCTGAGCACAGGCTGTTCTCCTTATAGTTCCCATACTGCCTAGCAGTAACCTTATCCACAAGAGTTAGATTTGTCCTTCAAACAACAGGGTAATGGTGCCCTTAGATGTGTCCAAACACCAGTCTCCTTAACAGTCCCACTCAGGAGTCCCCTGGCATCCCACTCACCTCATCCAGCTGTCTCTTCGTCTCTTCCTCCATCCTCCGAATGTCATCCATAGTCAGATCAACCCATTTATCGAGCCAACAGAACAGCTGCCTGTGAAAGTTTGTAAACAGACGCTTCTCTTGCTATAAAAAGAGGGAAGCAGTCAGAACTCAGGAGGTGAAGGCCCCTGCTACAATCCCTCTCACCCGGGGTATCTATTAACACCCACAGTTTAACAGGGTAGAGGGCAGGAGTGATGGCTGGCTGCCTTCTCTGGATCAGACCCAGGTCAATGACCTTTGCCTTCCTGTTTCTGGCAGGTAAGTGTTGCAGTAAGGATGGCTGTCCATCTCAGTTAGGCCCCTTATCTCAAATACCGCCAAGACAGGCAGCTCATGGGATCTGGCCAAGCCAAGGTCCCTAACAACTGCCGCAATTCCTACGCCTCTGGTGCCTCTGGCCGGGTTACGACTCGCCAGCAGCTGTGAGATGTGGTTCAGACTGTAATTCTAACATGTGAGAATTGAAAGGTTTAGGTCTATCCAGTTCTGTGATTCAGGACACTGAGCCTCTTGGCTCACAGTACCTCTTGCCTTTTGGCCCCAAAAAAGGAAAGTGAGTTTTATTTGTAGTTCAACCACAGCAAGTCCTTTCCTGTTTCCTTCTCTCGCCTCGATTTCTTTCCCTGTCACACGTGGTGCCTGTAGGTGACAGCTTGAAACTGTAGGACAATACGCTCAAGGGGAAGGAAGGGACCGAAGATTCCAGTGCTAGCGACTGAAGGAACAGATCACAGCTCCTGAGCCAAACTGCTCTCCCCCACACAGACAGACGCGGGAAGGCGCCACCCTGCAGACGTACCTTGTGTATGAAGTTCTCCACTTTGTTCTGCAAGCCCCACCACTTGAACTTGACGGTGACCAGTTTGTACGCACACATATATGGGCAGTCTTTCTGATTTACAAGTTCTTGCTGCATTAGAAAGATACCCAGAGGCAGGCTGGGAACTAGAGAGGAAGACCCCAGGCTGTCCGAACCCCACTCACACCCTCCTTCCTGAGGAGAGGCCCACCCACAGCATGCCTGGCCCCCTGGTGGTAAGGGTGCAAACTGTACCTTCCAATTTGGGCCCAAAGGTCCCCGTCCTGTTTTGACAGATTTAAATTTTGCTGGGTCTTCTTCGGCCTTGTAGTCCTGAGAACAGTGGAAATGGGGTTGGAAGAGAGAAAGGGAGGGGAGGGAGGATGAGGAAAGAGCAAACTGATCCTCAGAGAGCATCTCACACCGCTTCTTTTTGGTTTGCTTTGACACATGGTCTCTCTATGTAGCCCTGGCTGGCCTGCACCAACTAATTAGATCAAGCTGACTTCGAACACACAGACATCCACCTGCCTCTGCTACCATGCCCAGCTATAGCAGTTCTTGAAGTTACTTTCAGTATGGGAAATGTTATAGGCAAGATATAGAACTGTGTTGTGGATAGTTTTATGTTAACTTGACACAAGCTAAAGGCTATATAGAGAATTCAAGGCACACCAGGGCTACATGAGATAATGTTTCAAAATAAGTAAGTAAATAAATAAATATCTTCAGATGATCCTAAAACATGGAACCAGAGCTGAGAACAACTAGTCATCATTCTTAAAACTTCCTAGTTTAATCTCCTGGTATGTTTTAATAACATCCATACTGATGTGGACACTTCTTTGAGAAGGCCACAGCTCTTTACTCAGGTAGGTATTACTTTCTTCTCTTAGTCCCTGTAGTAAAAATCTACATTAAAATCTCTTGTAATGACTCTAACTCTGCTTCATAAAAATCCAAGTTTTCAAAGCAGTGGTAAGACGGAGTGGTGGGTGAAGGTGTTTGCTGGTCACCAGGTCTAACAGACTAAGTTGCATCCTGGGATCGTTCAGGGAAGGGATGGAGCTGGCTCCAAAAGTTGCCCTCTGACTCCCACACGCCTGCCGTGGTAGATTGATGCCAGTATTTAATACACAGAGACAATAAGTAAATAATAAGTAAGTAAATGATCAAACACAAATTTAAAAATAAAAAATAATTACTGGAAGTGTTCAACATTTAGAATGTACCCTCTTGTATATTACTAGGCCAGCTTCATTTAATGTTATCTGTCCATCTATCCGTTCATCTATCTAGTTTGGATTGTTTGTTTATTTGTTTGTATTTTTTTTTTTTTTTTTTGAGACAGCTCTAGCTGTCCTGGAACTTGTTCTGTAGCCCAGGCTGGCCTCGAACTCAGAGTTCCCCCTGCCTCTGCCTCCTGAGTGCTGGCATTAAAGGTGTGTGCCACCACTACCACCACTACCACCACCACCACCACCACCACCACCACCACCACCACCACCACCACCACCACCACCCAGCCTCTAGTTCTGGATTTTGTTTTAGAGGCAGGACCCAATGTAATCCAGACTGGCCTCAAACTCTCTACACAGCTGAGGATGGTCTTGAACTGCTGAGCTTCGTTCTGCCCCTTCCCAGTGATGAACAGGAATTATAGACATGAACCTATTTTCTTTAGATTTATTTGATTTTTAAATGTATGAGTGTTTGTCTGCATGAATATATGTGTACCACATATGTGGCCTGTTGTCCACAGGAGGTCAAATCGCCTCAGACTGGAGCTACAGAAGACTTTAAGTCACCATGTGAAACTGGGAACAAGTGTGTTAACCACTGAGCCATCTCTCCAGCCCCTTTACTTATCTACTTTTAAATGGAAATTGATTTTTAATATATACATATATATATACACACACACATATATATTTGTGACAGGGTCTCATTATGTAGCCAATGTTGCTCTAGAACTGTATACATAGACGAGGCTGGCCTTATATTTTTAGAGATCTCCTTAAATTAAAGGCATGCACTACCACATTCAGCTGAAATGAATTTTTGTTTTGTTTTATTCTGGGTTTTTTTTTTGGATTTTTTTCCAAGACAGGGTTTCTCTGTGTAGTTTTTGGAGCCTGTCCTGAAACTCACATTGTAGACCCAAGCTGGCCTCAAACTCACAGAGATACACCTGCCTCTGCCTCCCGAGTGCTGGGATTAAAGGTGTGTGCCACCACTGCCTGGAAAATTTTTAATTGATACATTAAAAACATTAAAAAAGCACCCATCTTTACAGTACCGTGTAACATTTGATACATGTATACATTCTGGGATGTGTAGATCAGGTTAAATGTATGGATGTGTAGATCAGGTTAAATGTATGGATGTGTAGATTAGGTTAATTATATCTACTCAAACATGTATTGTTTCTTTATCAACATTCAAAATATTTCAACTCCATCATCATCCCTACATTCATTCTACCGTACAACAGCAAAGCAGAGCTTACTCCTAACTGCAAACTGTACCCATGGAGCAGCCTCCGCCCTCCCCTCAGTTACGGTACAAGCCATCCTTTATGTTCAGTACACGGGCTTTCGTTTTCAGTTGTCCTATTCTACTGTCTAATGTGGGTTCATTACAGCATCTACGCAACAACAATAAAGATCATAAATCACACACTAGGAAAATATTACTATTTATTTATTTATTTATTTATTTATTTATTTATTTGGGATGGAGCACAGTTGAGACAGAGTCTTGTATAGTCCAGGCTGGTTTTGAACTTAATATGTAACCAAGGCTGGTCTTACACTCCTCATCCTCCTATCTCTACTCCCCAAGTGCTAAGATCAAAGGTATATACTACCACATCTGGCTATATCATTACTTTTTTAAAAAATATTTATTTATTATGTATACAGTGTTCTGCCCGCATGTGTCCCTGCATGCCAGAAGAGGGCACCAGATCTCATTACAGATGGTTGTGAGCCACCATGTGGTTGCTGGGAATTGAACTCAGTACCTCTGGAAGAACAGTCAGTGCTCTTAACCTCTGAGCCATCTCTCCAGCCCCCTATATTATTACTTTTTAAAGATTTTACTATCTTAAAAATTATATATGTGTGTGTGTGTGTGTGTGTGTGTGTGTGCGCGCGCGCGTGTGCATGTGTGCGTGTGCGTGTGCGTGTGCGTGTGTGCAGTTGAGTGCAGGTGCCCTCAGAGATCAGGTCCTACAGCTGGGACTGTAAGTGAGCCATCCAATGTACATGCTGGGACGCCAACTCCTGTCCTCTGCAGGAGCAGTATGTGCTCTTACCACTAAGCCATCTTTCTAGCCCCTTACACACCATCATCATCATTATTATTGTTATTTTTATTATTATTTTGTGGGGTTTGTTTTATTTTGTTTTCAAGCCAGGGTTTGGTTTGGTTCTAGGGTAGCCTTGGTTGCCCTAGAAATAGCTCTGTAGACCAGGCTGGCTTCAAACTCAAAGATCTGCCTGCCTCTGCCTTCTGAGTGCTGGGATTAAAGGTATGTGCTACCACCTTTGTTTGGTTTTTTAAAGACAGAGTCTCCTTATGTAGTCCTGGTTGTCCTGTAAGTAGCTATGTAGACCAGGCTGACCCCAAACTCACAGAGATCCACCTGCCTCTGCCTCTAACCAAGTGCTGGGATAAAAAGGCATGTACCATACCACCAGGTTTATTGTTTTTTACTATTCCCTCCACTCCCACAATAGAGATGGAAGTTACTCAAATTACATAGTTCTTATTACTCTAATATTTGTGAAATATATTCACATATTCAGTTTGAGAAAACTCACCTGGCCATATATTTATGATGTATTTACTTTGCTATGTATATTGTATTTCAGTAAAAAGGGTTGTTTTGTTTTTTGAAAGTCCCCCTATACGTCCAAGCTGCCCTAGAACACCTAATCATCTTGCTCCAGATTTCTGAATAATGTGATTCTAGGCATGTACCATCACCCTGGATATGCATCTTTTTGGGAATGCCCCAGTGAAAACATCTCAGTCCTGGGTAGAGAGACGGCTCAGTGGATAGACGCTCTTGCCAAGCAAGTCTGATGACCTGAGTCTGATCCCCAGAACCCACAGTGAAAGAACAACTCCAAGAGCTATAATCTGACCTCACATGTGTATATTATGCAGATACAATAATAATAAATAAACAAGGTTCAATATGTAAAGGTACTTGCCACACAAGCCTGGTGACCTGAATTTGAGTTCACACAAAGGTAGAAGGAAAGACTGATTCCATCAAGTTGTCCTCTGATCCCCCCATCATGGGTGTGTATACAAGCATGAGTGTGAGTGTGTGCACGTGGAGGTCAGGAGACAGCTTGAGGGAGTCCTTTCCTTCTACCACATAGCTAGCAGGGATCAAACTCAGGTTGTCTGGCTTGATGGCAAGTGTCTTTAATCACTGAACCATCTTGCTGGCCCAAGAAACTTAAAAGTGTGTGTGTGTGTGTGTGTATGAGAGTTTTACCTACAGGCATGTATGTGTACCATGGGTAGTACCCATGGCAGCAAATCCAGGTCTTCTGCAAGAGCAGTAAGTGGTCTTAAGCCCTGAGTCATCTCTCCAGCCCCATTGGCCCAGAGAACTCTTTTTTTTTTTTAAGATTTATTTATTTACTTAGTATACAGTATTCTGCCTACATGTGTCCCTGCAGGCCAGAAGAGGGCACCAGATCCCATTACAAGTGGTTGTGAGCCACCATGTGGTTGCTGGGAATTGAACTCAGGACCTCTGGAAGAGAGCTCAGTGCTTAACCACTGAGCCATCTCTCCAGCCCCGGTCCAGAGAACTCTTAACACTGACTTTAGAAATAGCCATGTCAGGAAACTTAGTGAGACCCAGTGTTACCTGGGCAGTCCAGTGGTGCATACCTTTAATCCCAGCACTCAGGAGGCAGAAGCGGGTGGATCTCTGTGAGTTCCAGGCCAGCCTGGTCTACAGCATGAGTTCCAGGCCAGTCAGAGCTACACAGAGACCCTGTCTTGACAAACTAAAAACTAACAGAACAAATAAATAAATAAATAAAACTGTTACCAGGTATGGTGGTGCACAACTTTAATCCCAGTACTTGGGCGGCAGAGGCAGGTGGATCTCTGTGAGTTCTAGGCCAGCCTGGACAACACAGCGAGACCCTGCCTCAAAAAGGAAAACAAACAATAACAAGAGTGCTGGGCATGCAGTTCAGTGGCAGAGTGCTTGTCTGGCACGTGGCAGGCCCTGGGCTTAGCCAGCAGTACCATAGAAACAATAACAACAATAAAACAAACGATGCACACCAGAGAGAACGCCTTCTGAGCCAAGCTGGGTAACTAACGTTCCCTGGTCCTTTCACATTTACCAGTCACTTCTGCACCCCGAAGTCTTTTAGGGAGCCCCTACCTTGCTAAGTACTTGGCTTCGATCAGCAATGTCTATATATATAGCTTCCACATGTTTCCATGTCTCAGGCTCCAGTTTATGCACCTGCAAGAAAACGGGAGACCACTTGTCATGCACGTGCACTTCTGTTAGAGACAAGCATCCTTACCTGAAACAGGGACAGCTAGAAACAGATCTTCCCACGCCACTGGTGGGATATTCCTACTAGTAAAGAATTATTCAAGGGTTAAACATCTACAATCTGAAAATCCAAAACGATCCCAAATCTGAAACATGGCATAGTGAGCTGCCATGAGGCCACAAATAGAAAATTTCACACCTGATCTCATGGTGGGCTATGGTTAAATGTAAGCAGGCTAAAGTGTCATGTAAAATACCTTCAAACTGTGTATATAAAGTATATATAAAACACAAATGATTTGTTTATATTTGGGTCCCTCCCCAATATATCTTGTTACTTGCATACATCCTAAAAATCTAAAGTCTGAAAGCATTTCAGATAAGCACTACTTGAGCTTACAGTTGGTACAGAGTTACTCAAATGTGCCAGAGATTGGACAGCATCAGGATCTGTCTTTAGACTCAGTTCACTTCAGCAGGCTCCACCAAATATCTGCACTGTTCCCACTGTACCCTGGGAGAGGACTCAATACCCCTGGATTTGCTGCCTTTTCACAAATTCAATGTACAAAAGGTTACAATAAAGAATAACATTTCCGGCTGGGTGGCGGTGGCGCACGCCTTTAATCCCAGCACTTGGGAGGAAGAGCCAGGCGGATCTCTGTGAGTTCGAGGCCAGCCTGGTCTACAGAGCAAGATCCAGGACAGGCACCAAAACTACACAGAGAAACCCTGTCTCAAAAAATGAAGAAAAAAAAAAAAAGAACGACGTTTCCTTTAGCTCATCCCTGACCCAACCTCAACTCTAGCAGCAGACAGTACAGTCTGCGTGCAGAGTTTTCTTTACTACTAACAATAGCATATAAATACATACATGGGTTCATAGATGCTCTTCTTAGCTTTATTTCATTTTTATTCATATGTATGTGTGTGTCTGTGTGTCTGCAATGTGGGTGTGTGTGGGAGCCGTCAGGGGCTACAAGAGGGTGTTGGATCCCTCAGCTGGAGACACAGATGTTGTAAGCTACCCAGTATGGGTACTTTGAACTGAACTCAGGTCCTGTGGAAAAACAGTAAGAGCTCTTAACCAGGGGCTGGAGAGATAGCTCAGTGGTTAAGAGCACTGAATGCTCTTCCAGAGGACCTGAGTTCAGTTCCCAGCACCCACACGGCAGCTCAAAACTGTATGTAATGCAAGTTCCAGGGGACTCAAAACCCATGGCAAAACACTAATGAACATAAAATAAAATAAAATTTAAAAAAAGAGCTCTTAACCACAGAGCCATCTCTGCAGCCCCGTAGCTCATCTTTTCTTTCTTCTTTTCAGACAAGGTCTCACTCTGTAGCCCTGGCTGTCCTGGAACTCAATCTGTAGACCAGGCTGGCCTCGAACTCAGAGATCCGCCTGGCTCTGCCTCCCCCGAGTGCTAGGACTAAAGGTGTGTGCCACCGCCGCCCGGCTTTTTTAATTTCTTTTTCCAATTTTTTAACATACTCATCCCTAACTCCTATTACCACCCTTTGCATCCTCCCACCCAACTTTGAGATTATTTCTTCTTCTTTCCTCATCCAGTGCGGTTTGTGGACTACTACTGGGAGTGGGGCCTGCCCGCCCTACTGTCTGGTCAACCTACCAGGGGGTCACATCTTTAAAGAAAACGGGCCGGGCAGGGGTGTCTCAAAAAAAAAAAAAGAAGAGAAAAGTGACTCTATGTGATGGCTATTCTTGGTTGTCAACTTGATTACATCTGGAATTAACTAACCCCAATGGCTGGGTACACCTGTGAGGGATTTTCTTTAATTAAATCATCTGAAGTGGGCAGGTCCTCCTTTAATCTGGACCACACCTTCGACGGCAGCCTATCCAAAGGACATGAAGAAGGAAGCACTCGCTCATTGCCTGTGTGCCCTCTTTCTCACTGGCAATTAGAGTGAAAGTCTACTCCTTCACCGGCATTAGAGCCTACTTCTTCAGGATTCCGATGGATACTGACGACCAGCTAAGTCATCCAGCCTTGTGGATTGAACAACTCCTGGATGCTTAGATCTTTGTTTGGTAAACAGCCATTATTGGACTGGCTGGGCCCCGGCCTGTAAGTCCGTCTAATAAACTCCCTCCCCTTTTTTTCCCCTCTCTCGATTCTGTCAGTCCTGTTCCTCTAGAGAACCCTGACTAACAACATGCTCTCACTTTCTCAGTAGCAATCAAATGCCAATAGCTCCTCAGTTAGTGGAGAGATGGGTTTGTCTGTTTGTTTGCTATTGAGACATGAGACCAAAACCATGTAAGCCCTGACTGTCCTGGAAATCTCTCTGAGGACCAGGCTGGCCTCAAATTCAGAGAGCTGCCTACCTCTGCTTCCTGTGTGCTAGAATTAAAGGCATGTGCCATCATGCCTTGCGAGGGTTTCTCTGTGTAGCCCTGGCTGTCATGGAACTTACTCTGTAGACCAGGCTGGCCTTGAACTCACATAGCTATGCCTGCCTCTGCCTCCCGAGTGCCGATATTAAAGGCATGCGCCACCACTGCCTGGCTTCCCTCAGCTTTCTAATGGTTGCATAGTATGTCACTGTTTGGCTGCACAATTTATTGGTGTCCCACTGATAGGGTCTTTCATTGTTTTGGATTTGTGCTGAATCTCCTTGTATATGTTATTTCACATGTGAAAAAATAGTCTCACACATGCCTAGGTGTAGAATTGTAAGTTGAAAAGAGCCGGAATATACTTTAAATTTGGAGAAGTAATGCAATTATAATTTATTTATTTATTTGGCTTTTCGAGACAGGGTTTCTCTCTGTAACAGCCCTGGCTGTCCTGGAACTTGCTTTGTAGAGCAGGCTGGCCTATGCCTCCTGAGTGCTGGGATTAAAGTGCTGGCACAATTATGATGTTTTAAAGACATCGTTCCTGGGTATCAGAAACTGCATTTTAGACCAATCCCAGCTCTACAGGAAAGCCCAGCAAAGAATCTTAGAGATGACATTTTGCAAATCAATGACAGGAAACCGCACTGTAGGGCAGTCTGGAGAAGCCTTCCTAGCCAGGCAGAAGAGAAGCACAGAGAGGACCCCGAGGCAGGAGGCAGAGGTTCCAGGGCAGAGAGATCTGCCAAGGCCTGGAGCCCTGGGGCTCGAGAGGTGATACTTACATTCTCCTGGGTGCCAAGATCCGGCTTGTGCCAGGTTTCAATTTTAATCAGAAAGTCTTCTTTCATGTACTCATTCTGGAAGAGGGAACAAATACCTAAGGTCGGAGCTGGAGGGTCACACAGCCTGAAGTCCTGGGTGGTCCCAGAACTAGGTCTGCCTCACATAGATGAGCACCCCAAGTTTACAGAGGAAGAAAATGGAGTTCGAAATCTTAGATGACTTGGCTGAGGCCACAGAGCTATCACACAGTGAGGCCCAAAGCCCCTCCTTGTCTGAGTTTAGAATTCAGTATTTAACCAGTCTTCCATACTACTTCATGAACAGAATGCAAATGTACCCAGCAGCCCACAAAGTCTCTGGCTGAGGAAAGTCTTCACGCTGGCCCCTTTCTCTACATCAAGCCCTTTGTTGAGGCCAGCCCTCTACACAGATTTTTTCCCCTCCCTTGGTGCTTTTCAAAAACTGTAACACCTGTTTAAAAAACATTTAATTAAAGGAGCTACATGAAGGAGGAAAAGAGCCCCTTGTCCCTGGCAGGGATTAGTTCTGCAGCAGGGACAAGCATTGGCAGATTGTGCTGAAGAGTGAGAGCTTGGGGGATAAGGGGCTGGTTCTGGAAGAACAAGCTTGGTGATGTCACAATGTTGCCAGTGGTCAGTGTTCACTGGAGTCAGCAGATGCCCAAATGGGACAGGAATGTCACGTTCAGGCTGGCTGAACTGAGACGTCTGTACAGCCCTGGGTAGGCATGACCGTAGGGAACAATGGAGAGCCTCAATTCATTCTGTACCTCAGAGACTCAGAGTCAGGTCTGACCTGGTAAAGACACCATGAGTCAATGCAGTTAAAGCTTTGACTGGCAAGATCCTCATTAGGACTGAAACGCTTGAGCCTCGACACCCCCAGCATCACCGGAGGGGAACGAGAGAACAGCCAGAACGTCTAGTGCAGGTATACCTTTATTTCTCCTTTTCTTACATATCATCTAGAACTCCAATCCTCCTACCCCAACCCCTGCCAGAAATACTTACTGTAATAACTGCTCCGAGGCAAGGACATGGAAAAAAGAAAGAAAGAAGATTAATGAAGAGACTATGAAGAGCAAAGACTTCTCCACTCCCCATGGCTTCCTCCATACTGACCTCTAGCCCCAGCTTGCATTAGGAAAGCCTCAGTGCATCAACCCCTCCTTCCCCCAAATTCATTCCAAGTCCCAAGGGACCAAATCTGGGATTTAATTAAGATGACGCCTATATGGGCTTCTTCGGATTCTCTCTGATAGAACAAGAAAAGGGTGGTCTCTGATCAGCTGACACCCTGAGGCCCAATCAATCTCCCATGAGAGAATCACTTGGGTGTCCCCACTCCCGGGGGACACAGAGCAGGGTCTTCCAAGCCAGGCTGTCTTTTTGATGGTGGCCTCCTTCCTCACACTGTAACCAAACCTCGAATGCTCTATGCTCCTGCCACTGTAATGGGATCCCTCGGAAAGCACAGGTCAATTATTTATCAGAGAAAATGACTGCAGCTTCCATGTCACTGGGGAAGAGCCCAGCTCTCCTCCCGACAGCAGCTCAGTTCATTTTGTACCCTACCCTGTGTGCGATCCCAGTTTCTGGTAATGCATACTGCTGTTTTTGGAGTATACAGAGGGCCAACAAACTCCATCACCCCAAAAACAAACAAAAAGGTAAAACTAACACTCGTGCCATGGAATTGGGAAGCTGACAGCATAAGGGCTATAAATTACCTTGTGCACAAACAGCCCAGATTGTCAGGAATTTTCCCGAGCCCAACCAAAGACACTGGAAGTACCAGATTAGGATTAAACTGGCAACTCCTCTATTAGCACCTTGAGAAAGTCACTGGGGACAACAGAAATAATGGGTACAAATATGCATCCAAAGACACCAGTCTGGCAGAGACTCTCGTGTTGTCACAGAGACAGTAGCTTCAGGCTGACCTGGTGTGATGACCCTGGGCATTAAGCTTCTCCTACCAGCTACCATATTTGGACTCCACATTCTCTAAGACACCCTCTCCAATCTGGCCTCGGTAGGACACAAGAATCTGCTCCCTTGACTAAGCTGACTGACTGCACCATCACACTGTGTTTTCCTACTTTAATTTCATTTCTATGTGGAAGATTCCCAAGGAAAGAACGTCCTGATCAGCAAATAGTGTCCAGTTTGACCCATAACTCTGTATTTCACTACCACTGCAGAGTCTGATGTTTGAGGTTTTTATATGTTAGTATATGAGCCATTGAGAAACAGATCCACCAAATTCTGAAAAAATTGGGTTTCTAAACCCAGGAGGGTGAGGACCCTGCTCTCAGCCTTTAGTATCAACTCAGCTGACTAACTTCCCTCTAATCCTATCCAATCTCCCTTCCTTCCCAAATGTCTCTGTATCCAAATCAACTACAAAGGAAAATGGGGTTTTCCCAATAAGACTAATAATGCATCTTATGTTAGAGGGATTTTTTGAGACAGGGTCTTGCTATGTACCCCAGGCTAGCCTTGAAGTTGTGATCCTCCTGACTCATCTTCCTGAATGCTGAGTTACAAATATTTACTACTATGTCCAGTTTCTTAATGTGATATTTTAAAAGCCTGACTTAGTGGTACCGTCTGCTACTGAGGGAGAAGACAAGGGGAACATATTTCTCCTCTTCCCATTTTCATTTACAGCCTGACCTATGGGCTTCAGGAGAAGAGATGGAAATAAAGTAAGAGAACTTGATGACGATGGAGCACACTAAATCCGTTTTCACTGCTCCCAGAATAAGGCTGGAGCCATCCCAAAGGCAGGGGGTGGGGTGACTCCACACTCCTTTTTCCACTTCTCCTCAAACTTAGACGTACTGAGGACAAACTAAAATGCTGGCGCTCGTATTCTCTGTCCCGCTGGCCTCCAGGGAGGATCAGAAGGACCCCCTCATCTGTTCTATCTCGTATTTTAAAAGAGGAGGTACCCAGATGAACAGGTCTAGGAGTCGGCGTGTTCATCCGTAACGAGTGGATCCCACTAGGAAGTGGCACTACTAAGAAAGTACCTCCCCCACCCCCACTTCTCTTCATGGAGGAGTTATTCTTTCGTTTGTCAAGGATGGATGTGTGAACTAACGTTACTGTGTAGGAAACTGCCATGCCAGATGCAGCACATTCTCCCAAGTGTTACAGAGTGGACAATGGCATCCCTCAGTTAGCACAAGCTATGTACCCAGAAACCCAGGCTACGTCTGCCTCAAGCTGACTAAGATTCTTACAGCGTATGCTCAACACGACTATCAGACATCAAGGAAAGTCACCTTTGTCCCTGTGCCAGACACACCCTGCCATACTCCACTTTTTTTTTCCTTCTTAATTTACTGTGCTGGATCAGATCCAGTGCCTTGGGCTAGAGTAAGCACTTTACCAGTTAACTACACCCCTAAACTTGATCTGGACTTTCGGGGGTGGTTTACAGGGTAGGGATGGGGATGTGAAGGGACTGGGGTTAAAACAGAGTCTTTCTACATAGACCAGGCTGGTCTTAAACTTGCAGAAATCCAGCTGTCTGTCTCCCAGGTGCTAGGATTGTGCCACCATACCTGGCTCTTGTACACTGCTTTTTAAAATCATGAATCAAAGCTCAGCATGGTGCTACAGGCCTATTATCCAAGTACTTGGAAGGTATGAAGCAAGGAGGATCAGGAGGAGTTCAAGGCCAGTCCCAAACTCTTCTAAGACCAGCCGGGGCTACTTAAGACCGCCTTTCAAACACACACACACACACACACACACACACACACACACACACACACACACACACACACCCCTAATTCTAAGCATGTAACAGTTTCCTGTCCAGTGCATATAGAGTAGTAAAACTTGCATTTTCAGCTACAACAATGAAACTGTCCATAGCCTACGGACCACCATTGATTGTGTATCTCCTGATAAAAGGTCCTTGAACTTATATAGGGCCATGGGAAGACTGGAGTGGGCAATGACTTCGGTTACTCCCAAAGTCCACAAGATAAGGACACACCTGGGTCACATAAGGATTACATGCTTATCAGATACAATCTAGAGAATAAAGAGAAAACAGCCAGGGAAGCAATACCGGTGAGCAGAGGCCGGCAGGACCAGAGCCAGACAGCCTGTGCCCACAATGGAAAGCTAGCAGGAGGAAAGAACACTGACCTTGGAGGTCAGTGGACATTCAGGGTTCCCTGGCATGTGAATCAGTGCCAGCATAATCTAAGAAATCTACTCCTAAGCCAGGGGTCATGAGTCACACCTGTAACCTCACACAAGAGGGCTGCTACAAGTTTAAGGCTAACTGGGGCTATACAGCAAGTTCTAGGCTGCTGAGCTACAGGCTGAGACCCTTCCTGGGGAAGGAAGGAGGAAGAGGGAGAGAGTTGAGGGGAGCTATCTCTAGATAGTCCCTCAGACCTCAGAATCTTGGAAAGCTGGGTCCATGCTACTCAGAAGGAATCCCAGAATGTGTTCTAGAATAGAAAGTATCTCTACAGAGGCTCCAATCTTTCCTTTCTTTCTAAAACTGAACCAGAGATGATTCTACCCCCCTGCTACAATGTGAATTTCTTATATAGACCAGGCTGACCTCAAATGCACAAAGATCCAACTGCCTCTGCATCTTAAGTGCTGGGATTAAAGGCGTGCGTCACCAAGTTCAGTGTGTCTCCCAAATATTTCTGATCTGTAGTTTATAAAATTCATGGATGCAATGCCCACAGACACTACTGACCAGCTATACATTCACATGATAGGATATTATGTTATTATAAATATTAAGAAACAACAGGGGAGCCTGCATGGGACCAAACTAGGCCCCTCTGCATGTGGGTGACAGTTGTGTGGCTTGGTCTGTCTTGGGGTCCCTGGCAATGGGACTAGGATTATCCCTGGTGCATGAATTGGCTTTCTGGAGCCCATTCTCTATGGTGGGACACCTTGCTCAGCCTTGATGCAGGGGGGAGGGACTGGGTTCTGCCTCAACTTGATAGTTAGGCTTTGTTGACTCCCCATGGGAGGTTTTACCCTCTCTGAGGAGGGGATGGAAGACCGGGGAGAGGGGGGAGAACTGTGGCTGATATGTAAAATGAAATAAAATTTAAAACAAAAAAAAATACAAACAACAGGGTCCTGGAGAGATCGCTCAGTGGTTCAGAGCACTTGATGCTATTTCAGGGGAACCGGATTCAGTTCCCAGCACCCACAAGGCAGCTCCCAATCACGTGTGACCCTAGTTCTGGGTGATCTAATGCCCTCTTCTAGCTCTGGAGGCACCAGGAATGGACATGGTGCAAATATATACATACAGGCAAAACAACATACACATTAAAAAATTAAAAATAATTTTTAAAAAATTAGCAATTTTTTTGCCAGGTAGGGTGGCGCACACCTTTAATCCCAGCACTTGGGAGGCAGAGGAAAGCAGATCTCTGAGTTTGAGGACAGCCTGATCTACAGAATGAGTTCCAGAGCAAAGGCTACACAGAGAGACCCTGTCTTAAAAAGCAAAAACAGCCGGGCAGTGGTGGCTCACGCCTTTAATCCCAGCACTTGGGAGGCAGAGCCAGGCGGATCTCTGTGAGTTCGAGGCCAGCTTGGACTACCAAGTGAGTTCCAGGAAAGGTGCAAAGCTACACAGAGAAACCCTGTCTCGAAAAACCAAAAAAAAAAAAATAAAAAAATAAAAAATAAAAAATAAAAAAGCAAAAACAGACAAAAAAATCGAAATTGTCAAACTAACCCCAAATGAGAGGAGTTTGTTCTGTGCTGTCTCTGGCTATGACTATCAACTCAGCTAAGTAGTATGGATAACACTGACACACGTTCCCAAGCCTTAGGGAGGCCCCCCCAATCCCTCCACTGGCTTATTCTGAAAAGTAAACACAAACCCTGACTCACCCACCTCCAGCTCCCTGTCCACTTCTGCCCACCTCTGGCCCAAATCTCAGCTCTGGGCAGCTCTGTACTCACCGGTTCTGCAGTAAGGGTAGGCATTCCAGGCTTTCTCATGTATATTCAGGGCTCCTTCTGGGGCCAGCATTCGAACAAATGTGGGTACTTTGCTGTAGTGAGAAAAGAGGTGATGAACAAAAAATGGAGGCAAGAGAAAGCAGATAAGTTTGCACAGCAGTCCTCGGCCCACAGCTCCTGCTTTTTCAGTGTCTAAAGCTGATATGCACATTTCCCTGAGATAAGCAGGCTACTGTGTTGAAGAAGTCACCTGCCAGAGCCTGACACCTCGGCTTGACAGGCTACAGATAGCACCAACCCCTGCTCCACCACTCACCATGAACAAGAGCTTTTGAGACCCTGGGCTGCCTGCTGCCATTTTTCAGACATTTCTTTCTCATTATAGTCATCCAGAGCCCACTGGGAATCAGTACATCCAGGGTTCGACTGCACTCAGACTTAGGTCTCCTGCTGGTGGGGCCAGCCGACTAGCTTAGAACGAGGGTTCCAAGGGCTGAGAAGACGGCTAAGTTAGTACCTCCCTGAGTGTGGAGCCCCAGCACCACATAAAAAGCTGGCTGTAATAGCACTGGTGACCCCAGTGTTTGGGGCTGGGGACAGAGAAGGAGGATTCCTAAAGACCATGGACAGCCAGTCTAACCCATTAGTTCATTTAGAGACCCCACCTCAAAAGTGAGTGGGGGCTGGGAGTGGTGGCGCACTCCTTGAACTGCAGCAATCAGGAGGCAGAGGCAGGGGAGTTTGAGGCCAGCCTGGTCTACAGAGTTAGTTTTAGGACACTCAGGGCTACATCTTTTCGGTGATAGAGGAAGACACCCAATGTTGACCTCTGACCTTCACCTGCACACACACATAGTAATTATGATATCAAACCAGCTGGTCTATTTCCCCAAGTTCTCAGGGAACAGGGCGGCCTCATAGTCACCTGCCTCCCAAGATAAGTATTTTCTTCTCCCTTCCCGCTTCTCCCCTGCCCCCTCAGTTTTGCCTCTGTCTCTTCCCCTTCCACAGAGTCTCATGTATCCTACACTGGCCTCAATCTTCCAAGCCTTCTGCCTCTACTTGCCAATGTTAGCATTACGAGCCCATAACAGCACACTCAGTTTATGTGGTGCCAGGTATCAAACCCAGGGCCTTGATCATGCTAGACAAGCATTCGGCCAACTAAGTGACATACACAGCTCTTCTTTCAAAACAAACAAACAGAAAGTCTCCCTCTGTAGGCCAAGTATGCAGAGTGGTTTCTGTCAACTTGACACAAACATAGACCTATCTGGGAAGAGGGACTCTTGATTAAGAAAATGCCTCCAAAAGACTGGCCTGTAGGCAAGTGTATAGACATTTTTCTTGATTTATGGCTGATGTCGGAGGGCTCAGCTCAATGTGCGTGGTGTCATCCCTGGGCAGGTGGTCTTAGATGGTATAAGAAAGCAGTCTGAGCAAGCCAGTAAACATCCTTCCTCCATGGCCTCTGCTTCAGGGGCTACCTCCAGGTCCTTATCTTGAGGTCCTGCCCTGACTTCTCTTGATGACAGAATATAATCTATGAGGTGAAATAAACCCTTTCCTCTCCAGGTTGCTTTTGGTCACGGTGTTTATCACAGAAAACAAAACAAACAAAAAAAATCAAACCCTACCTAGGATCCAAGCTACCCTTTAACTCACTATGTAACCAAGGCCGACCTTAAACTTAGATGCCCTCGTCTTTTCTATTTTGTTTTTTATTTTGTTTTGTTTTTGAGACAGGGTTTCTCTGTGTAACCTTGGCTGTCTTGAAAATCACTCTGTAGAACAGGCTGGCCTCGAATTCACAGAGATCTGTCTGCCTCTGTCTAGCCAGTGTTGAGATTACAGGTGTGCACCACCACACCTGGATAATAATATTTTCTTCTATTCAATTTTTCCACTGTTTTTAAAAGGTTTATTTATCACCTTTATGTGTATTAGTGTTTTCCTTACATTATTTCTGTGCTCCATGTATGCCCGCTCAGGCCATAAGAGGGCTTCAGACCCACTAGAACTCGAGTTACAGATGGCTGTGAGCCACCATGTGAGTGCTGGGAAACAAACCCAAGTCCTCTGCAAGGGCAGCCAGTGTTGTCAGCCCCTGACCATCTCCTCAGCCCCTTCTATTCCATTTTCCTCTCATGTTACAGAACAATATGTATGGTATGTACCTAGTTTTCTCTAAGTACATAAATTCGTTCCTTAGTTCCTCCCTCTCTCTCTCTCTCTCTCTCTCTCTCTCTCTCTCTGTGTGTGTGTGTGTGTTACTGGGATCGGTCTCACATATGCTAGGCAAGTACCCAAGTACTGAGCTACATCTGCAGCCCCACCTTTCTTAGCTTTTAGATGGGAGCTTACATAATCTTCAATAGGATCTAGCAAATTCATCACCTTTATTCATGCCTCAAGCCTAAGGGAGAGGGCTAGCCCCACAGCAGACAAGACTCCGAGCCCCCAGAGCAAACCTCTGTGAGTCTTTACACACCAATCCACACTCATCTAGGTAACAGTTCTGTGTGCCAGGCACTGGATCCACAGGAACCAAATGGTCCAGAGGCAGACTAATGAGAGTCCTGAAAGACTGTGCTCTAATAGGGTGAGCACGGGGCTCTCAGGGGAAGGACACTGCAAAAGCATGGTGAGGGAGGCACAGGACTCGAGACTGGCTCCTCAGGCCAGTCAGAACACATGAACACATGGTACAGGGGGTGTGCGGGACGTCAAGAAACAGGACGGGAGTGAGGCAGATAAAGCTGGGAGAGAGGAGTTACTGCAGGTCTAGTCACATGAGCTTGGAAATAAGGGAGGCAGCTGCACTTCATCCCCAGGACAAAGGGAGGCTTTACATCTACAGCTTTTAAGAAGGCAGCACAGTTCCTCCAGACAAAATGTTCACCACCCAGAGAACTGGAAGGCGAGAGAACAGCTGGAGGCTGAGGGAGCAACTGACGCCAGAGAAAACGGAAAGCAATGTGGATCTTAGAGATGTTAAGGGCATGGATGAGGGATCAGAACCTCACTCCAGAAAGGCTTTCCTTCCAGGGATCCTCCCATCTTACTGTTCACTTTACTCTGTCCAGCTTTTACATGGGTTCGGAAATTGGAACTCAAGTCACAGGCCTGTATGAAAAGCTCTTTATGTGTATGCATGCATGTCTGTGGGGGTCTGTACACGTGGGTGCAGGTGTCCACAGTGGCCAGGAGACATTGGATTGTCTAGAGCTTGAGTCATAGGCAGTTGTGAGCTACCTGATGTGGGTGCTGGGCACCAAACTCAGGTATTCTGCAAGAGTAGCACGTGCTCTTAACTGCTGAGCCATCTCTCCAGCCCTACTGTGTTTTTTTGTTTTGTTTTGTTTTGTTTTTTGTTTTTTTGTTTTTCGAGACAGGGTTTCTCTGTGTAGCTTTGGTACCTTTTCTGGAACTCACTCTGTAGCCCAGGCTGGCCTCGAACTCACAGAGATCCGCCTGCCTCTGCCTCCCGAGTGCTGGGATTAAAGGCATGCGCCGCCGCCACCACCACCACTGCCCGGCCCTGAGTCATTTCTTAAACAGTCTGTCTGGTTGACTTCCATTCAAGTTGGTAAATGCTCACAGATGGTTTCAAGGCCATTTGGGTCATGGTTTGCTATAAAATTGTTTAGATTTGGGATTCAGCAAATATGTGTGGTTTACTATAAATTCCAGTACACAAGTGAGTTCCAAAGTTATTTGAAAACATTGGGGAAAAAAATTGCTGGGCAGTGGTGGCGCACGCCTTTAATCTTAGCACTCAGGAGGCAGAGCCAGGTGGATCTCTGTGAGTTCGAGGCCAGCCTGGTCTACAGAGTGAGATCCAGGACAGTCAAGACTGTTTCACAGAGAAACCCTGTCTCGGGGAAAAAAAAAATCAAACAAACAAAAAAAGAGCCGGGCAGTCCTGGCGCACACCTTTAATCCCAGCACTCGGGAGGCAGAGGCAGGTGGATCTCTGTGGGTTCCAGGCCAGCCTGGTCTCCAAAGCGAGTTCCAGGAAAGGCACAAAGCTACACAGAGAAAGCCTGTTTCGAAAAAACCAAAAGAAAAAAAAAAAAAAAAAAAGAAAGAATAAGGCAAGAGAGTTGGGGAGAGAGCTAAGGGGCTGAGCATAGCCGTTAAGTGAGGCTCTGGGCTGAACACCCAGCAACCAACCAGGCAGGAAATGCTGTGAAAGGCAGCTATGATATGAGAGATAACTACAGAGGAAAGAACAGGGTGTATAGTATGGTATGATCAACACCTAATAGAGGAAATCAGTGCCTGTTTATACACACTCCACACATACTCCTGTACTCAGGACAAGGAATGGCCCACAAGATGCCAAAACAGCTCAAAGTAGCTTCTAAGAACTGGGAGCATGATCGGACTGGAGCTACTTTTTTTTTTAATAACAAAAAAATCTTTAAGTAAACAAAGAAGTACCACCCATAACCAATCTGAGAGATGAAGCAACTTGGGCTGCCAGTAACCTGGAGTCACTCCCAATTAGCCAATACCACCACTGTCAAGGTAGGCCATGTTCCCGCCCAGCCACCTGGGGCACGCACGTACCTCTGTAAGTGGTAGATCTTGTGTGTGTACTGGCCTTTCTCGCCGTCATCCTTCTCATACGGCTCGTTCACCAGGACCTCCACACCTTCCCCACCACCAGTTTCATTTTTACTGGCTTCAGCCACAGAATACAGCTGCCCCACTTGATACTAAAAAACCAGAGACAGACATTATTTGCAACAGTTAGTTACACAGGAACCAATGCCACTGTAGCCCAGGACCTCCACCTGCGGGTTCACAGTGGTCCTTGTCAAAAATCTTTGCAAAGCAATGGAGAGATGCACCGTGGCATCTCTCACTTTTTACTGTTGCTTCCTTCTACCACTTCTTTTTTTTTTCCCCAGAGATAAGGATTGAACCCAGGGCCTCGAGCATGCTAGGCTGCTCAGTAAGTGCACAACCACTGTGCCATCTCCTCAACCCTCTGTTTGGTTTTCCTGCATCAACCTCTCAAGGAGCTGGGACTGCAGGCTCTCTTTAACCATCAGAAGTATTCAATTTCATCTTCCCAGTTTTACAAACCCATGAGTTTGAAGAGAACATAGACTATACTTAATCTCACAGCACCATCCAGGAAACATTATAGAGTCCAAGGTCTCTTTTGGCCTGGACCCAGCTCTGGTATCAGACCCCAAAACAGGATCTCAGATAGTTGCTAAAAATCTCTCATCTCACTTACTTAAACAGACCCTAAAGCTAAGCATAGCATCTCATCCTTGTAAGCACTCATGAGGCTGGGGCAGGAGGCCTGCCGAGACTATGATGCAGCCTGGGCTACAGCGAGTTCCAGGTTATCTCTGGCTACAGTGTGAGACTCTGTATCAAAAACAAAACAAAACAGCCAGGTGGTGGTGGTGGTGGCACATGCCTTTAATTCCAGCACTTGGGAGGCAGAGGCACGCAGATCCCTGAGTTTGAGGCTAGCCTGGTCTATAGAGAGTTCCAGGATAGCCAGGGCTACATAAGAGAAACCCTGTCTCCAAAAACAAATAAAAAGCAAAACAAAACCCAAAAGCAACAAGAAAAATTAATACATAAATGATCAGAAACCAAGACTCTGACTTCCTGTCCAAGAAAGCCGTCCAGTGTAGCCCACAACCTCTGGCAAAAACTGCTTTTTCTCCTGTGTGGCTTTTCCTCAGCCTGCGGGGCCCCCAAAACCTCGCAAACAAGACATCTCCAGATTTCCCCATTCCAGGCAGGTCAAAGCCATGCTCCTGCTTCCTGCATTACAGATCCCTCCCCCAGGCTCAGCTGGCTTTGTGCCCCTCTGCCTTGGCAGTTGCTAGATGGCAAAAGCCTGGTTTTCCTTTATTTGGGTCACATGTCACCCTATCAAGTCACCGGCCTTCTCTGACCCCTTGGGAGGCTTGGTGTAGACTGATGACTTAGCAGCCGTGCCCGGGCCTACTCAACTCCTAGTCCTAAGAGAAGTTATCTGGAGATGGAAAACATGGAAGACTCTGGGCACGGTGGCCTGTAATCTCAGAGGAGACAGAGGAGGTGGATCTCTGTGAGTTCAAGGCCAGCCTAGTCAACATAACAAGTTCTAGGACAGTCACAGCTAAACAGTGAGATCATGTTTCAAAAACAAAATAAATAAGTAACAAGAAAGAAAGAAAAGGAGCTGTGACAGAGCAGGAAAGCACATTATTCCAAAAGATGCGTCTCCCTTGTGTTCGCCAAGGGCAAGAGGCCAAGGAAAAGACAGACAGAACGCCATTACCCCACCTGCGGGTGGACATAGAGCTTTCCTTGTCCTCTACACCCTCCCCTGAACTCCTGGTGCCCCCAGGGCTAAGACTAGGGGTGTTCTCTCCCTCAGATTGAAATCAAGTGGCTGCAGCTCTGGCCGCTGTGAGGCACTGCTGTGAGGCACTGTGCAGGCCATGGAAGGAAGCGCCAGGTCTGCTCGTTACACCTGGAAGCCCTCTCACCTCAGCTCCCTAAGCACTGCAAGGAAACTTCTGAGTGACATCTAGAGGGGAAGGCACAGTTCGCTGCTTACCACAAAGCCTAAAACGCCCAGCACAGAATGCCAAGAAAAGGCCCAGGTAAGTGATCAAGGCTCGGCTAATCCCATCAAGAGGAGCATCTGAGCCAGTTACCTAGATCTTGCTAATCCTGAGCAATACGAGTGCTGCTTTGGGGGCTCATGGAACCCCACGCCAGCCCCTGTTCCTTTCCAGTCCTATCATCTGCTAAGACACACTTGAAACCCACATCAAGTGGGTCCCGGTTTGGCTGAGGCAGACTTCCTCATAGGAAGCTGCAGGAACTCTGCCCTGGAGAGTCGGAAGGACACCGAATGACTGACTCAGCAAATCCTAAAGGGCAGGCTGGGGAGAGGGCCTGGAGACAGGACTAGCTGCAGCTTGTAGTGGTGCTCCTTGGGGGAGGGGCCCAGGGCTGGCAGAGACCTTGGTCTTCAGGGATTCCCTTCAGCTGCAGGAAATCACAGGGCGGGCCCTAAGAGGATCAGTCTGCGTGCTGGCCTCTTCCCCTTTAATCTCTCTTGATATGCTGATCCTTTAATCCCAACGAGACAAGTGAGGCAGTTTGTTAATCCAAAGAGGTAAAGAAGACAGATCTCCACGTCACAAGGTCCCCTCTGGCTGGTCCTGGGAGGCTGCCAGACTCAAGATTGGTGGCAGTAAGGGTGGGGATCAGACCACAAGATCTAACACAGAGCCCCAGGGAGACCACGATTCCAACTTCCTTAGGCTGAAAACCATGTTACCTTGTCCTAGAGAGTTGTCCCCTCTTCCCATACACTAAGTCACTCTGAAGTAAACCAGAGAGTCTACCACTGGGTAATCAGTGAGTAGGAACCGTGGGAGAGGAAATGTGGAGCAAAACCACTGAATGACACACATAATAAAAGCGCATACAGTTAGGCTCAGGTGGCCCACACCTGCAATCCCAGCACACACGGGGCTGTGCAAAGGGGACTGCCGTGAATTTAAGGCCACCTTGGGCCACATACTGACCACCAGGCTAGCCAAGAATATACAGTAAGACTTTGTCTCAAAAAAAAAAAAGGCAAGAAAAGCAGCACTCTGTTGACCCGCCCATACAGCCCTGTCAGGCCAGGTTCATAGAGGAATGATGCCATGCGTCTGCCTGTCCACACAAGGTGGGCCAGGAACCGCTGGTGGACACACCCATATCGAACAGTGCTTTCTTGTCTGCTACAGGATGCCTGGAAACCCGAGGCAGTGTTACACTAACGGCTCTCACCAAACAAGCTAATTCTGCCCCCAAATATCGATTCAGGTCATCAGGATGACCATAAAGCTATGACCTTCTCCTTTCCTTTTTTCCTCCCCAAATCAGAAGCTCCAAGGGACTCAAGTCTCCAATATAGGAAGTGAATCTACCAGTCACATGATGCTGGGCCGTTCTCATGGGAACAGTGAGTCAGAAAGGGGTTACTGACAGAGACACTGTTCCTTACTTCTTCACTCTCCCCATTCTAGAATTTTCTAATCATCTGGAACGAAGGCTCAAGCTACCAAAGGAGCAGCGTCACCCCTGCAGCCCTGCTGCTTTCCTGTCAAGGCCTTCTTGCTAAGAGCAGGCTGACCAGCACCACACAGACAGACAGACAGACAGACAGACTCTGAACCAGCATGCACTTCTCAAGCTTTGGTCAGGCTGTCTCACCACTTCCTCCATGCTGCAAAAACAGGCTAAAATCTGCCAGCCGAGGGTGTTCTCGAGGTGGGCATGTCCCATCCTTCCAACCGTGGGGCCACCAGGAGGGGTCAGAGCGGCGGAGGGGTGCTCCCAGATGACTCCAGCCCCCGTTCTGCAGCACTCTCAGTCTCAGCCTTTGGCCCATCAGAGACTCCCTGCAAACTGATCCATCGTACCTGAAATCCCACATGAAGTCAGTCCCACATTCCTGAGGGACTTTCTGATTGATCCTCTACAGCAGTGAGACAGCCACTGGACCGCCTAAGTTTCAAGGTAAGGGACACAGAGGCCTTCTCTTAGGAAACCATGTTACATGCCCTTTTTGTTTGTTTTTCGAGACAGGGTTTCTCTGTGTAGCCTTGGCTGTCCTGGAACTCACTCTGTAGACCAGGCTGGCCTCGAACTCACAGAGATCTGCCTGCCTCTGCTTCCCGAGTGCTGGGATTAAAGTCATGTGCCACCACCACACAGACTTTTTTTTTTTTCACTTTAGAATAGGTTCTCACTATGTAGCCCTGGCTAGACTAATCTACATAACTCCGTGTGTAGATCAAGATGACCTTGAACTCACTTAATATTTTTTAATATTGACAGCAAGGCCCTCAGAGGAAGTGGGTTGACTCTCCCAAAGCTAATACCCAGGCACCTGGTTTTATCTCAGGTGGTTCCACGTATCACAGCATCTATCTATTATTTTTTCCTTAGATTCCTCAACGTATGTATGTGTGTCTGTCTGTCCATCTCTTCCCTCCTCCCCACCATTTGTTATTTTATTTGTTTTTCTTTTTCTTTCTCAAGACAGGGTTTCTCTGTGTAGCCCTGGCTGTCCTAGAACTCACTTTGTAGACCAGGTTGGCCTTGAATTCAGAGATCTGCCTGCCTCTGACTACTGAGTACTAAGATTAAACTTAGGCACCACCACACCCGGCTTTTCTTTCCTGTTTCTTTTTTTGTTTTGTTTTTTGAGAATGGGTTTCTCTGTGTATCGCTGGCTGTCCTAGAACTCACTCTGTAGATTAGGCTGGCCTCAAACTCAATGTTCTGCCTGCTTCTGTCTCCTGAGTGCTGGTATTAAAGGCGTGTGTCACCACTGCCCAGCTTCTATTTTTTAATTAATTAATTTATTTATTTATTTTATTTTGAGATGGAATCTTGCTATATATGCTCAAGCTAGCCTCAAACTCTGTATGTTAATTCTTCTGCCATTGGCACCCAAATGTCTCTTTTATTTCTCAGACCATGTTCAAGTTCACATCTGTCCCTCTTTCCCAGATCTCCGCAGCCTTTCTGAAGGACTCAGTACCCCACTGGAGACAATCCTCTCAGAGACCAATGCACGGGCATCACTCGTGGGGGTGATTTGTCTCATCTAAATGCTCCCACAGGGCTGGAGAGATGGTTCAGTGGTTAAGAGCACTTGCACCCCATTAGAGGACCTGTGCTTGATTGTAAGCACTTACAATGGGCAACTCACAGCCGCCTGTGACTCTAACCCCACATATATTACACACACATACACACAAAGAGAGAAACACACACAAAAACGCAAATGTTTAAAGAATGCTCCGGGCTCTGCTGGCCTGCTTTCATTTCCTGGAGGTCCAGCTTCTGTATGGAGTGCAGGAGTTTCCTAGGGCCCCACAGGAAAAAGAGAGGGTACCAACAACTGGGGATTCAGGCTGGCCTTCGTTTCACTGGAAGCTGGGGTGGAACTGTGGATTCAGGAGAAAGTCGAGAACAAGCTTGGCCAGGAAGGGAGAAGAGGACGTTCAGAGGAAGGGTGGGACAAGGGAGGCTCCATGACAGCACTCCGCTATCCAAGAGACAGCTCTGAGTCAGCAGGGCCTGTGGACGTTCTTGTGGCGACTAGTGCTGCCAGCCCCACAGGCACGGGCCGGCAGACCTGGGAACCATAAAAGGACGGAGGACAAACCAAGCCCATCTGTCATCTTCTGCCCGCCGCCGTAAAAGGAGGTTTGGGCGCCTTGGTCTTTCCAGCAGCCACCTACATGGCTGGGGACTCAAGACACTTCTGGCCTTGCTGGTTTGCTTCCTAGCCAGAGAGCACCATTAACCAGAAAGCACTGTCCTCAGCCTAGTCATGGAGGTCCCACACACGCACACACAGCAGCTCATCAATCACATGTCCCAAGAGTTCAGTCCCAGCAGACCCAGAGCTGCTGTAGTCTCTGTTCAAAGCTATCCAGCAAGCCAAGAGCTTGAGACTGGTTGTACTCAGGCACCAGATTCACCATAGAAATGCCTTCCTATCTATCATCTATCATCTATCTATCTATCTATCTATCTATCTATCTATCTATCTATCTATCTATCTATCTATATCTATCGTTTTGGGTTTTGTTTGTTTGTTTTTTTGAGACAGGGTTTCTCTGTAGTTTTAGAGCCTGTCCTGGAACTCGCTCTGTAGACCAGGCTGACTTCGAACTCAGAGATCCCCCTACCTCTGCCATGCACCACCACCGCCTGGCTAGAAGTGCTTTCCTTTAGTAGAAAGTAACATCAGGAATATTTGAGCTGAGCCTCAGTTATCTCTATATTAGAACATAAATGAAAGCTATACAAGCAGTGTGGCCACTCCCAGCCCCACTAAGCAATGTTCACAAGTACTTATGAACAACTATGGATGAGATGAGAGGAAAAAAAGCAGGACTTACCTCATCTACAGACACAGGCAGGATGACTCGACTACAAAAGAAGAACAGAAAGCATCAACTCCAGGCCCCGAGAGCACCACCTCAGCACAGTGTTCCCTACTCAGTGACAAAAAGCCAGCAGGGACTGGCCCTCTGGATGCTTCAAGGCTGGGGTCCCTCTTGTCCCGGAACCCCATTTAGAACCCTGTAATTCAGAGCAAACCTGAACTTCCCACTGCCTGCTTTGCAGGCCACTCACTCCCGTCTTTCTCCCCTGCTCCCTCAACCATCTCCTCTCCAACAGGACTTGCTCATGCATCTAGTAAAACAGAAGCTAACAGAGAAGGCTCATCAGATGAGGATTCAGATGCAAAGAATGCAGGCCCGGGGATGTGCATCAGTAGGCCTAACTTTCCAACATCAGCCCTCAGGGTCGGACGAAGGCTGAAGAGGACAATTCCCTAGAGGCTTAACCAACCCTAGAGCCTCAAGTGCCACCACCTCTGCCCTCTGAAGGATGGTACAATGCAAACTCCTCATGCAGCTCTAAAGAGGATAGCCAGCCCCGACCTCCAGGAGCTAGCCAAAGGCACTCCAATCTCTCACTTTCTTTCCTCCTGCATTTTGCCAACCTCCAATTGTTGGAAGGTACCACGAATAAGCTGATAGAGAATTGGGCAGTGGTGGCGCATGCCTTTAGTCCCAGCACTCAGGGAGGCAGAGGCAGGTGGATCTCTGAGTTGGAAGCCAGCCTGGTCTACAGAATGAGTTTCAAGACAGCCAGATCTACACAGAGAAACTCTGTCTCCGAACCCCCCCCCCAACAACAACAAAAAAAAACTGATAGAGAACTCCTGGCCAGCAGAGTCCTCAAGAGGGTCAGAACTCCAGAGAGCTGAGAGGACTGGAGCCACTTCCCCAGGTGGCTTACACTTGTGACAGACCAGTGCTGACCCCCCAGTTCAATACTGGTCAGAGAGATGAGAAGAAAGGCCTTGACTGGTCTCAAAAGTCAAGCCACCCAGTACTGAGGAGGCAGAGGCAAGTGAGCTCTGTGAGTTTGAGGCCAGCCTGGTTTACATAGTTCCAGGCCAGCCAGAGCTACAAGGTAAGACCCTGTTTAGCAAGCAAACAAACAAAACCCGGAGGTGGTGGTGCACACCTTTAATCCCAGCACTTGGGAGGCAGAGGCAGGTAGATCTCTATGAGTTCGAGGCCAGCCTGGTCTACAGAGCAAGTTCCAGGATAGCCAGGGCTACACAGAGAAATCCTGTCTCAAAAAAAAAAAAAAAAAGAAAGAAAGAAAAGAAAAAGAAAAAGAAAAAAATCCAAGTAAGACAAATGGAGATAGGCATGGTGGCACACACCTTTAATCCCAACCATCAGGAGGAGGAAGCAGGTGGATCTCTGAGTCTGAGACCAACCTGGTTTACAGATTTGAGTTCCAGGACAGCCAGGGCTGCAGAGAGAGACCCTGCCTCAAGATAGATAGATAGATAGATAGATAAATACATACATACATACATACATAAAATAAAAAAATAAGACAATCAAGAGCCAGATGGATAGATAAGATAGAGATAGATACATAGATATAATAAAAAATAAGACAATCGGGCTGGAGAGATGGCTCAGAGGTTAAGAGCACTGAATGATCTTCCAGAGGTCCTGAGTTCAATTCCCAGCACCCACATGGTAGCTCACAACCATCTGCAATGAGATCTGGCACCCTCTTCTGTATACATAATAAATAAATAAATCTTTGAAAAAAAAAAAGACAATCAAAAGCCAGATAAATAGATACATACATAGATAAAATAAAAAATAAGACAATCACTGGGCCTTTAATCCCAGCACTCGGGAGGCGGAGCCAGGCGGATCTCTGTGAGTTCGAGACCAACCTGGTCTACAGAGTGAGATCCAGGACAGGCACCAAAACTACACAGAGAAACCCTGTCTCGAAAAAACAAAACAAAACAAACAAACAAAAAGACAATCAAGAGCCAAAGCTAAGATTTCCACTTCTCAGAGCCTTTCTGGAACCTGCTGGGCCCTCGGCATCTTTGTGCCCTCGCTTAGTAAAGCATGGGCATACTCTTTCCAGGTCCAAGCATGGCTCTTTGCTCCAGGATGCAAAATAGTTTGCTATTCCCTAGTCCTACAAAATTCTCCTGGGCAGCCAGAAAACACACAGTGAGACCTGAGGAAAACATCACAGTAAAAGCCAGGCATCAAGCAGAAAAAGCACCAGAGGAGGGAAGGAAAAAAGCTCCAAGTTCTTGACTGTCTGCTAACTCCCTTCGGATACTCCCATTATAGAAAGCCAACGGTGCAGAAGTGCTTCCAACTTAGAGGGCAGAATTTCTGCACCCCCAGAAAGAACTTCCTGGAAAACAATATGCCTTTTATCTTCAAGAACACAGCAAAAATCACATCGAAGAATTTGCAGAAACCAAATCAGGGAAAATCCTGCTGGAGGAAGTGTCAGAAAAAGCAACAAGGACAACCTTCAGATCCAAACCTCCCCTCTAAAGAGACTAGTTCCAGCTAGTGCCTTCAAGGATGCTCTGAGCCTGCTTCCATTACAGCCGCACACCCAGACATTTCTCCCTTGCTCCCTCGGAACAAAACCACCTCAGCCGCCACAGGGGACACCTGGAAAGGAGAGGGCCACAGAGGCCCAGCTGGGCCAAGACTGAGCCATCCTCACCATGGCATGACCTTCAATTGCCTCCTCCTCAGAGCTGCAGCACTGTAACCACAGCCCCTTGCCTGCCTGTTTCCCATCCTGTCCCCTACCCAGGGGTGCATGCATGCACAGGGCACAAGCCCATCAGAAGGAAATACAGATGCAGGTTCTGCATCACCAGCACCTTGGGCCTCTCCCTGTTCAGGCTTCAAGTGGGAAGAACAAAGAATGGAAGAAGAATGCCTGCCTCCCAGATTGACTTCATCTCTTCAGAAGGGCCCTTCCTTCCCCTGCCTGACCTTTTCAAAACTCCACATTTCTACAGACTGTAGGATTCATGTGGGAATTTTTTTTTTTTTTAATCTGAAAAGTGAGACAAGCTCATTCGTTGGGACACTGAGGATTAAAATGCAAAGTGCACCATGTTCTCCTTGGAGAACACTGGCACCCAAGTGTTCTTGTTCTTCAACACATAAAGCTCTGAGCGCTGGCTGGATTAACACTGGACATCAGAGAGAGGCGACAGGGCCTCCAAATCACGTTCTCCGCCCGCCAAAGAGTCAAGGTGGGATGACACCTGGCTCTCTACTTCGTGGGTCAAATGGCACACTATGACATCTGAAACACCTCCAAGGAGCAGACGGTGTGGGGACGGACAAAGTGCCCTCACTGACGAGGGAAAGAGTCCTCTGCACACTCAAGAGTTTCACAAGTTTCTCTGTACTTGGCCAGTTTCCATTTCTGAACTTCTGGGGCTTAGGCCCCAGTGCTGCCCCCTTGCCCTCTCCTTTGGGGGACCTTAGTTTCACAAGAGTCTATACACACATCCAGTCTCGACTGGGATGTTCACTTGGAACCATGATCCTCAGGAATGGGTCACACTGTCTGAAAGGTTTAGCAATCCAAACAACCCTACCTGTCAGCCAAGGCCCTGGGTTTCAGGAGCAAACATCTAGCAAGCCCTGCCTGTCCTCTAAATCAATAGCTCCTCACCCCCAAAACAAAACAAAACAAAATTTGTGAGGATCTTCTCAATTCCTCCAAGCAATTTCCTCATCTCTTTGCACCAAAACCCCAAATCCGCTAGAGACTGGATGCCCCCATCCTGGTCCCCACCACCTCCATTAGCAGGCATATTCATTCTTATACTATCTTTCTGGATGGTCTTGTGCCCTGCTATAACTTCCTACCCTTCTCTATCACCGAAACTCCTTCACATCACTTCAGAACCTGCCCAGTATTTTCCAAACTCCCCATTCAAGGGCTGCCAAGTCCTAGGCAGGCATCCCGAGCTTTTATCAAAAGCCGCCTCTTTTGCACCTACTACTTAGGTACCGTGCCACTCCAGCCATCCCCACCCAGCCAGCCCTGTTATCTCAGTCCCCTCTGCTCTTTCTCCCTCCCCATTACCCAAGCCTGGCCTTGACTTAAGTCCTTTTTTCTGCAACCAATTATTACAACCCTTCCTCTGCTGCCTAAGGCAGCCACTGTCCATGCCCCAGGTTCCGCCTCAGCACTCCTCCCCACCACCTCAACTCCATTCCAGGAGCTAGCTACCTTATCTGATCTTCCCTGCCCCTTGGTACATACAGCTCAGCCTCAAACCCCTCCCCACCGCCAGCCAACTCACCGGCGCTGCCTGCCCTTGTCCCACTGCTCCTTGGTCCCTTACACAACTCCTCAGTCTGCCCCTTCATCCCTCCTTGCGCCCACTGTAGGGTCACCCCACATCCAGCGCTCTCCATTCCTCGGGCCCCTCCTCATGCCCCCTCTGGTTCTCCCCGTCCCCTTGACCCCTCCTCAGGCCCTGTCCGGCCCGCACCGGTTCCTGGCCTCCTCTCTGGCCTATTCGACCCCACCTCAGGTGCTGTCTGTCACCCTCTGGCCCCTCCGCCCCTGCTAGGCGGCCCAACAGCCCCATCCGGTGTTCTCCATCCCCCGGCAGGCGATCTGCCTTCGCGGCCGTCATCCCGACCCTCCCTTCCGCCTCGCTTCCGCACAGCCGACCCGACACTCACTACTCCTTGAGCAGCACCATGTCGCTTCGCGGCTCGGCGGCTGCCAGCTGCCAGCCCGGCCTTCCGCCCGCTTCCCGGCGGCCGCTCTCCCGGTGGCCCGGCCCGGCCCGGCTGCCTGTGCGCCTTCGTCGTGGTCTGCTCTGTCTCTGCTGCTCTCGCTGCGGTCGCCGCGCGGGCTCCTGCCGCCCTGCCCTGGCCTCGCCACCTCCCGCGCCTCTGCCGACGCCGCCCGGAGCTCCGGTTCCGCAGCGCCGCGCGGGGGCGGGGCGTCTCTGCGGCAACCAGAGCGTCAGACGCAGCCCTGCGCGCTGACCTCACGCGGGGCGGGGCCTTCCCGGGCCCGCCCCTCTACCCTTAAATGGGCCGTGGCTCCGGGTCCATGTCAGCATCCTAGCTGGGTCCCAGGCGGTTTGGGAACTCAGGAATTAAAGGGACATGTCTGGTGTGAATGCGCTTCTGCAGCAGAAACTGATGCGCCTGAATGCCTGGACTTCGCTAGAAGGTGTGTTGAGAGCCCAGCGTGTCAAAAATAAAATGAGGGGCTTGGAGATTTAGTTCAGCCGTGAAGCACTTGCTTAATTTGGATGCGCACACACACACACACACACACACACACACACACACACACACACACACACACACACACACACAAAACCAAAATATAAAAAACAAACCCCAAACAAAAGTGTGTATGTGTTCTCTAAATACTTGACTCCACAACTCCACCAGAAAGGTACTGTTTACTGCCCTCATTTACAGGTAAGAAGGCAGCAGCAGAAAGATTTGCTTGTTACGGCTTCTTCCTGATTTTTTTTTCTTTTTTCTTTTCTTTTTTGAGACAGGATCTCACTATATAGCTCTGGCTGTCCTGGAACTCACAATGTGCACCAGGCTGGCCTTGAACTCACAGAGATCCACCTGCCTCTGGCTCCTGAGTGCTGGGTGTAGCTGAGACTCTAACCTAGTGTCTTCTCATCCATCCAATAAACATTGGCTGAGGGTCTGCTGTGCACCGGAGCTTGAGCTATCCTGGATAGAGAGAACAAGACTGGTACTATCTTGCCTTTAGGGGCTGGAGGTCAAATGGAGGGGAGGCAGGTGATGGCTGAAGGTAACAGGCATTTAGAATGAAAGGGGCTGCCAGGCCTGTAACCCTAGCTATCCGGGAGCTGAGGCAGGAGGACAAAGTTCAAAGCCTGCTCAAACAACTTAGTAAACCACTGCCTCGTGTAAGGAGAGGGCTGAGATACAGCTCAGTGGTCTAGCACTTGCCTAGTATGCAGGATGTCCTCGGTTCAATCCTAGAACCACAGGAAGAAAAAGTAAACAAGTCATCAGACCTGAGATGACACAGGAGGGCATCTGATGTGTGTGAGGAATCCCAGGGAAGCCATTCCAGAAGACAAGACTTACGAGTAGATCTACGAGATGCTGGGGAGTGAAGAACAGCAAATAGCAAGCAGATCTGTAAAGGCTGCAGTCAAGGAGAAGAGGCTGCATTTGGGGACTTGTCCTAGTCTGGTTTTCTGTTGCTGTGATAAAGACCACAACCAAAAGTAACTTGGAGAGGAAAAGGTTTATTACATCCTTGAGGTTAGAGTCCATTATCAAGGGAAAAGAGGGCAGGGACCTGAAGCAGAGGCTATGGAGGCGTGCTTGCTTACTGGCTTACTCAGCCTGCTTTCTTGTACACCCCCAGGACAACCTGCCCAGGGGTGCTACCCCCCAGAGTAAGCTGTGCTCTCCATCAATCATTACTCTAGAAAATGCCCCAACAGGTTTGCCTACAGATAAATCTGATGGGAACATTTTCTCAACTGAGGTTCCCTCTTTACAGGTGACCCTAGCTTGTGTCAAGCTGACACAAAAAAAAAAGAAAGAGAGAAAAGAAAAAGAAAAAGAAAAAAATGACCAGCACATGACTAGAAAAGATAACTGGAGCACTGAGTTTGGAGGTGGAGAGCTGGGAAGGGCTAGGTTCCTGGTGGGTGATGGCAATGTGGGCTACAGGCCATGGGAGAGCATTTGAGGATTTCAGCAGTGATAAGAGATTTATGGCTGGGCGGTGGTGGCACACGCCTTTAATCCCAGCATTCTGGAGGCAGAGCCAGGCGGATCTTTGTGAGTTCGAGGCCAGCCTGGTCTACAAAGTGAGTTCCAGGAAAGGCGCAAAGCTACACAGAGAAACCCTGTCTTGAAAAACTAAAAAAAAAAAGGGGGGGAGATTTATGATATGAAGGTTCCCTCTGAATGTTGGGCGCAGGGAAGGAAGAAGAGAGGGCTGTGTCAGGACAATAGTGATAGGCAGGGACACCAGTGAGGAGGCAGCTGCAGAAGTCCAGGGAGCATTCACGGCAGGAAAAAAAAAAAAAAAAAAAAAAAGGCCAGGCAGTGGTGGTGCATGCCTTTAATCCCAGCATTCGGGAAGCAGAGGCAGGTGGATCTCTGTGAGTTCAAGGCCAGCCTGGTCTACAGAGTGAGATCCAGGACAGCCAGGGCTACACAGAGAAACCCCGTCTCAAAAAAAAAAAAAAAGAAAGAAAAGAAAAAAAAGAAAGAAAATTGAGGCTTGTTGACAAATTGGCCAAGAGGGCAACAGGGTGAGAGCAAGGGAGGACATGAGAAAAACTGACAAGGTTTAGGCCTGGGAGCCTGAGTGACTAATACTGTATTCAGGGAGAACACCAAAATGGGTTGGCAGACAGGTGGGACTCACTGAGAGCGGGGTGCTTGAAGGGTATATGGGCGCAGCTGCCAGTCAACTACCCAAGATGGTGGCTCAAGAAGGAACTGGGAAACAGGGGCCAGATGGCTACCCAGCTGTGACAGTAACCAGGGCTGCCCTAAGTGTCCCATGTATTGGCCATTCATTCATCAAACTCTGGCATGAGCAAGGACAGCTCCAGAAATCCAAGGCAAGGACCCTGAGAGAAAGCCAAGATCCAGGAAATGGCCTGACCCCTGGATCCCCAGCCCTCCAGCCCAGGGCTCTTTCTGTTCCACAGTATCAATGGATAGTACTCTAGAAAATGCTGGCTCTCTCCAGGAAGTAACCAGATCCTGCCCCTACCCCTGGAAACTTGCAGTCTAGTTAGAGAGACTACATTTACTCATTCACTCAATAAATATTGATTGAGCACCTGGCCCTGTCCTAGGTCTTTTTCGAGGCACTTAAGACACAAGGGATGACCAAGCAAACAAGATCCCTCCCTGAAAGGAGGGAAGCACAATACAAACAGACAGAAATGGCTTGCGGAAGAGACTGGTGTGAACTGGGTGACTGATCTTGGGGGCAGCATTAACGGTGATATTTAGACAGAGGAATTGGTGCTAATTAGCTGATAAAGGCTGAAGCATGAGCCTAGAGGACAGTGCTGCACACGAGGGGAAACTAAAAACACAAACCAGCATCAAGGCGGGAGACGGAGTTGCCCTGGCAGGATGCTTGCCTGGCATTCACAGAGTCTTGAATTCAGTATCACATAAACCAGTTCTGGTAGCTCATGCCTGTAATACACTTCTGAGATAGAGACAGGAAGATTAAGGTCATCCTCAGCTACCCATTCAATTTGAAGCTAGCCTGGGCTACACAAGACCCTGCCCAAATAAATAAAAAGTAAATAAAAAAATAATTAATAAAGAAACCAAAGGGCTAGAGATATGGCTTAGCTTGGTTAAGAGTGCTTGCCACATTCCAGAAGACTGGAGCAACTATGTCAGCACCCATGTCACCCAGCGCCCATGTCACCCAGCACCCATGTCACCCAGCACCCAGGTCACCCAGCACCCAGGTCACCCAGCACCCAGGTCACCCAGCACCAATATCACCCAGCACCCATGTCACCCAGCACCCATGTCACTCAGCACCCATGTCACCCATCACCCATATCACCCAGCACCCATGTCACCCAGCACCCATGTCACCCAGCGCCCATGTCACCCAGCACTCATGTCACCCAGCACCCATGTCACCCAGCACCCAGGTCACCCAGCACCCATGTCACCCAGCACCCAGGTCACCCAGCACCCATGTCAAGCAGCTAGTAACCAACCACCTGGAACTGTAGCCTCCTGGGGATCTGATGTCTCTGGCCTCCTGCTTCTGCACGCCCATGCACATACACACAGATATAGACACATACACATAATATTTTAAAATAATAAGAAAAAATCGGGGGACTGTAGAGATGGCTCAGAAGTTAAGAGCACTGGCTGCTCTTGCAGAGGTCCTGAGTTCAATTCCCAGCAACCACATGGTGGCTCACAACCATCTGTAATGAAATCTGGTGCCCTCTTCTGACATGCAGGCATACATGCAGGTAGAACACTGTATACATAATAAATAAATTTAAATAAATATCATAAAAATAAACAAAACAGCAGACAGTGGCGTCACACCCTTTTAATCCCAGCACTTGGAAGGCAGAGGCAGGCAGATATCTGTGAGTTCAAGGCCAGTCTGGTCTATAGAGCGAGATCCAGACAGCCTGGGCTACAGAGAGAAACCATGTCTTGAAAAACCAAAAACAAATAAATTAAAAATAAAAGCCAGATGTAACACAAACCTTTAGTCATGGTACTTGGGAGAGAGGCAAAGGCAGGTAAATCCCTATGAGTTAGAGGCCAGCCTGTTCTACATAGTTCTAGGCCAACCAGGACTACACAGTAAAAATCTGTCTCAAATAAACAAACACTGCACGCACGCACAGACATACACACACACACACACACACACACACACACACACACACACACACACCCCAGAATGTGTGAAGCTTCCTCACTGACATCAACTTGAAGTAGTCTGTGACAAAGGTGACCATGGAGGACAGAAGGGTCAGTGCTGGTTAAGATTTCAGGAGGTGTCAGGTAGGGGTAGTACACTCCTTTAATCCCAGCACTTGGTAGGCAGAGGCAGGCAGATCTCTGAGTTTGAGGCTAGCCTGGTATACAGAGCAAGTTCCAGGACAGCCAGGGATACACAGAGAAACCCTGTCTCAAAAAACAAACAAACAAAAGATTTGAGGAGGTGTGGAGGCAGCTTGAGCTGGGGTAGACTAGGAAGGACAGCCTCTGCAGAGGGAAAGCATTGGAGCCATGACTGGCCTCCCGAGTGGGGGGCCAGAGGCCAGAGCAGCCACGCTGGTTGCAGCAAGTGGAGAACAAGGTAGCCTGCAGACAGGACTGAGCTTGCGACTTTGAGTTCCCTTTGAGCTGTTCCCTCTGATAAGGGAGCAATCAGGGGGCCTTAAGAAAGTCCTAACTTGGGGCTGGAGAG